ACCTCTTGCGTGATTCTGAAGTCAGCAGCCTGCAAGGCCCGTAGGTAGCCATGCACGAAGTAGAGCTGCACAGCATAGCCACAAACAGTGCGGGGTTCTGATGCTATCGCGGTAACAATAATCATGACTAATGACCCGTTAGAAGGCGAGCACAAACCTTGTTTGCTTAAATAACTACCGCCGTGTGAATACAGAAAACAGGCATTGTAATGTGACGATGGGACGCTTGACAGCCACAGAACACAGGCCTCAACGATGTTCGGCAAAAACAAATGTGCAACAGTGCACAACGGTGTATGACACATGATTAACAACCGTGTACGTAGATCACTAGAATCACATAACCATGCGCGTCATGACCAATCCACAGCAGCAGACAGCCGAGGAGGGCTCTGACAGTGCGCGGCCGCCGGTGTCGGCCCCCGACACCGGCCCGGCCCCGGCGCCGTGTGCATGTATATAATACTTGCCTCCTGGACGAGGCCATTGACGTGCGCCTCGGCGTCCGTCGGGCCGGCCATACGAGCCGCAGATCACCGCGGTCAACGGCGCGGTACACCGACACCTGGCGGACGGCAGCGGCCGGTCACAGCTGGGAACGCTCCCGAGAGCGGGGACTGGCCACAGCGGGGCCGGCTCCCGTGAGCGGGGACTGGTCACAGCGGGGCCGGCTCCCGTGAGCGGGGACTGGTCACAGCGGGGCCGGCTCCCGAGAGCGGGGACTGGTCGCAGCGGGAACTAGTCACAGCGGGGAACGTTCCCGAGAGCGGGGACTGGTTACAGCGGGGAAGATTCCCGAGAGCCGGGACTGGTCACAGCGGGGCCGGCTCCCAAGAGCGGGGACTGGTCACAGCGGGGAAGACTCCTGAGGGCGGGGAATGGTCACGGCGGGGAACGCTCACGAGATCAAGGACTGGTCACAGCGGGGCCGGCTCCCGAGAGCGGGGACTGGTCACAGCGGGGAAGACTCCCGAGGGCGGGGACTGGTCACAGCGGGGAAGACTCCCGAGGGCGGGGACTGGTCACAGCGGGGAACGCTCCCGAGAGGGGGCCGGTCACAGCGGGCCCGCTCCCGAGAGCGGGGACTGGTCACAGCGGGGAAGACTCCCGAGGGCGGGGACTGGTCACAGCGGGAAAGACTCTCGAGGGCGGGACTGATCACAGCAGGGAAGACTCCCGAGGGCGGGGACTGGTCACAGTGGGGAACGCTCACGAGATCAAGGACTGGTCACAGCGGGGCCGGCTCCCGAGAGCGGGGAGTGGTCACAGCGGGGAAGACTCCCGAGGGCGGGGACTGGTCACAGCGGGGAAGACCCCCGAGGGCGAGGACTGGTCACAGCGGGGCCGGCTCTGCTGAGGAGACGTTCAGCGCATTACTGTAGCAGGCGCCCGACCAGGAGCGCAGAACAGCCGTGGTGCAGGTTAATTTGGAGATTTCGGGTTTATTTGGGGCCAGCACGGGAGAGATATTTTGAGACCACCGTAGGGGAGCTTTTGGACGAAGACTTCCTCCTGTCAAAATGGCAATATCTTATAACGGCCCTTAATAAGCACAATTGCCCTAAAGCCTATTTTACCGGTTCCGTGAGATAAAGGTTGTCGGTCCGCTGAAACCCAATGGTAATGAAGTCCATGACTCCGAGCCTTCGTCCTGCTCGCAATTTACATGTCAGTTGGCTATTCTTCCACACATCTTCCAAAAAACACCAGGGTTTTCTGAAGTGTTTAGTTAAATAAGGGTAAGAGCCTCGTAGGCCAACAGCCAAGTAAAACAAAGTGTTATGACTGTCAAGTGCGTTATCAGCTTTTCCAAACACGTCGCAAAACAATTCCAGAAATGCTGTGTCTGGTTCTCCATGCGACTAAGTGAGACATAATAAAACGCAGTCTGCACTTGAACCAGAATATTTTTCATGGCCTACGTCGGTGCTGGAGTTTCATCCCTCTTCATGTTGCAGTCTCAGGCGGAAAATGTGACAGCGATCAAAGGCCTGCAGTATTTTACTCGCTCTGTGTGGCCTTATGAAGGACAAGGTTTGAATGGGTTGATCGGTTGCTAGGACGTAGCCGGTGGCCATGGCTCTTCTGCGTCAAGAGCCTTACACTAGGCATTGGGTAATTTTACAGCAACCCGACATGTTAAAGGCAAAAACGACCACAACATATATATCGTCAATTATCGTAATAAGAAAATATCTAACTTTCTTACGAGAAACAGCCCAGACAAGCCCGACAGACCAAAACGCACCAATGTAGTGTATCAATTCCAATGCAACATCGAAGACTGCAAACTTCGTTCCATACACTACATTGGTATAACTACAACGACATTCTCACGACGCCTAACAATGAACTAACGTGACGTGGCACCTCTGGGCCACATGCGAAACGAACACATGACATTGACACGACAACAACTGACAGACAGCACTGACATTTTACGGGCGTGCAATGACAGAAGACGCCTTCAACCTTGGGAAAGCATATTCATTAACGATCTCTCTCCGGCCCTAAACAGACAGACAAATTCTTGCACAGTTCTTGAACTATTAGGTAGTGGATGGTGAAATCTACTTATATATATATATATATATATATATATATATATATGTATAACTAAATCACTTAACTGGAACTTCGGGGCTTGTGACTCGAACGATTCGGAAACGACTTGACATTTCTAGAGGGTGGATGATAGGGGCATGGACTCGGGCTCGGACCCCATTTCAGACTCCTGAACTAGGGCACATGCCTTAGTCTGACAGGAACAGGGGCAGGATCACGAGGAATAACCTTCTCTTTTCAAGACAAGACATCCGCACTTCGTTAATACATGGTAATAATCGAGACCTGGGTTGAACTGGGTTGGCTTCAGCACCTTATGCGATGTTCCTGTATTATCCCGTAGGCATTTACCCAGCATGGGTGAAACCACGTTGTTGCGATTGGGCGGGGAGGGGGAGGAACAATGTGACATGACCACCTTTGACATTATGGCGCATGAAAAACCGTGTGTAGTGGGGGAAAAGTGCAGGGGGAAAATTCCACATCGTTCAAATTGGAGGGATGTTTCCCAAGGCGCCCTCCCGAGGTTATACCGATTAGGCACTCATGCTTCCCAGCCGTCTACCGTGAGGTCCGTGGATGGGCCAAATTGCGTCCATGCCTCAGAGACTGAGGGACAAATTCGGACTGCAGGGGCCAACCCTGGAATCTGGAGCATGAACAGCCAGGCCTAAAATTGCCTTGGATTTTTAATGGGCAAAGCGTGAAACCATGCACTGCATAGGCAAAAGTGAAAAGGATGAAACCACGGCGGGATAACTTGGAGGTCATATCCCCGACTACCCTATCGGCTAATCACGTGGGTTCATGCCACACCGCCCGTGCCCGCTCTACCCTGCGCAAGATTTGAAACCAACGAATGCAAGAACTTACCCAGAACGTAGTGCACCACCGCAGCACCCGCTCCCCACCCGCTCCCCACACTCCGTTCCAGGGCAATACAACACCCTCCGCTCCGTGTTCTGCTGTGGTGACTGCCGCATTCTGGATCAAGGCCACAAGTAATCGATCTCGCAGCGAGTCCTTTTGTTCGGATGCGGCTGGCACTGCTGACAAATGCCAAATAAGCCACGCCCTTTCACGATCGATCGAATGCGCGTGGTGTGGAAGCTATAAATGATTCGTAGGCGCTCTTGAAACTTGCCGGCAAATGATGTCACATCGCTACATTACAAATTGCATCACGACGAATGTGTGGTGAAGCCTGCAAACGCTTATATTGCACTTGTATTCCTCTGGCGCACACGTTTTGGGATTTTTGGCACTCTTCTTCACTTGAAATGTTCTAGCCGGGGGCGGGAATTAGGAATGGGAGGGGCTGAGCCCGAACTTTGTGCAAATTTAACGTTGACACCGTGGTTGTTAGCTACAAAAAGTAACCGCAAATGGCTATTGCCCCGCTCCCAACTTGGAAGAATTTCTACCGCCCTCAGTCCCAGCGACGTCAGATTGTTTAAAGTGCAAGGCGGCCAACCCCTGCGTCGTCGTCGTCCCTAGCTACCACTCTTGTAACCACCTCTGAAGCGTCACTGGGGACAATTTCTGTTTTGATGCCGCTTTATACGGTCTTATCACAAAAACAACTTTATCTGCAAAAAGTTGCTGGTGGCGGAAAATTTTCCGGAAATAATTCCTTGAGAAAGTAACGAGGTTACTGTGTCAACCAGCTTATTGGGGGCGCCCATACAACGTACCAACCACGCGTTGTTGTCTTGAACTATACAAACACCGGAATGTCAAGAAGACCGTGCGGATGCCCAGCATTTGAGCAGTTCCCAAAAACAAACACGACCAGGGGATAATGACCACCGAAATGACACGACACAAACCACACGCGCACGGAGCATGCGTGCCGTAGGTACCAAGGATACGCGCCAGAGGCGTTCACCCAGACAGCACTATCCTACCAAGAACTGATGTGTACCTTAAATCTTCAGCTGATCACAAAGCGACCATATTGGGTGCCCATGTCTCGTCCTACCCTCCAGCCAGGGCTTCCGGCCGCCTAGTCGCAATCCTTCCGATGGAACAGTTACCGGCGAGGGCCGGTTGCGAACCTATAGGCATGCCTTCGCCGGACCCCCAGCCAGTTTGAACTCTATCCCGCACCGCAAACGCCAATCAACGATTGCTGTCCGACGCGGCCGACGGCTGGCGCTGGAATATCATGAGCGTTCGGTCCGTCAGTTTCCGGTAGCCGCTGTCTTCTCATCCACAGAGCGCACACGACGGAAAACACCACAGCGATTTCAGTGTCTTTATTCCAGGGATAGACTTCATACACGATTAGAAGCGACTAGCCCGTCGGGGAAGCGTTGCTTTGCAACAGCGGCCAGCGGCGGCAAAATAACAGACAACCAGACACGGAGACGAGAGACCGGCAGCCACCGGTCACGCTATCCACGGACACGGCGCACGGAGACCGCAGAGACAGAGAGACTGTGGCAGGCCGCCGGTCGGGCTCGCGGAGCCGGCCGAGCTGGGCGGCGCTCTGCCAGAAGAGCGCACCACACGCCGCCCAGTTCAGCCTGAACCGGAGCGGCAGCCGGGAGAGGCGGCAGTGGTGGACTTCTAGTCCTTGGACTGCATGAACTTGATCAGGTCCACGACGCGGTGCGAGTAGCCGTACTCGTTGTCGTACCTGACACGGATTCAAGAGCGTAGGTCAGAATACTGGCACGCATTGTGCGGGCAGATACGTTGGAAGTACCCTTCGGGGCGCAGGAAACACCAGGCAACGACACACAGCTGAACTCTCGAAATCAAAGCGAAACCTTTCATGATAAGCCGGCTTACCTGGATGTAGTTCATGGTATTACTATCATAGGTATGCTCTCGTTGCACCGTCAATCTATGATGACGGCAAAAGGCATGACACGGAGTCATTGAAATCAGTTGCACACTACCTAGTGCATCGCCCAATACTCAACCATCACCCCACTTACCAGGAGATGAGCTTGACGAACTTGGTGTTGAGCTGGATGCAGGCCTTGGCGTCGAACACGCTCGAGTGCGAGTCGCTGAGGAAGTCCTGGGAGACCACCTCGTCCTCGGTGTAGCCGAGGATGCCCTTCATCGGGCCGTCGGCAGCCTCCTTGATCTTGGCCTTGATGTCGTCCATGGGGGCATCCTTGCCCAGGCGGCAGGTCAGGTCCACCACCGACACGTCCGGCGTGGGCACGCGGAACGCCATGCCAGGTCAGCTTGCCGTTCAGCTCGGGGATCACCTTGCCGACGGCCTTGGCGGCGCCGGTCGAGGCCGGGATGATGTTCTGGCCGGCGCCGCGGCCGTCGCGCCAGTTCTTGCCGCTAGGTCCGTCCACCGTCTTCTGGGTGGCCGTGGTGGCGTGCACCGTGGTCATCAGACCCTCGACGATGGTGAAGTTGTCGTGGATCACCTTTGCCACCGGCGCCAGGCAGTTGGTGGTGCAGGAGGCGTTCGAGACCACCTTCATGTCCGGCTTGTAGGCAGTCTAGGTTAACGCCGACCACGAACATGGGCGCGTCGGCCGACGGTGCCGAGATGACCACCTTCTTGGCGCCGCCCTCAAAGTGGGCGCTGGCCTTCTCGATGGTGGTGAACACGCCGGTCGACTCGACCACGTACTCGGCGCCCGTCTTCGCCCACGGAATGTTGTTCGGCTTCATCTCGTTGAAGACGGTGATCTTCATCCCTGAACACGGAGGACAGAGAAATGCGAGACGATGCCACAAGAGCTGTGCAGAAAAATCGACAGGAATGCATAGAGCAGATGTAAACTCCACAGAAAACCACGCAACTCCGATCTACCGATGCGTTCCAGCCACAGGAGGACGAAGGGGCCCCCATTCTCACCGTTGATGACCAGGAACTCTCCATCAGCCTTGACGTCGCCCTTGAAGCGGCCGTGCGTGGAGTCATACTTGAACATGTACACCATGTAGTCGAGCGAGATGAACGGATCGTTGATGGCCACGACCTGAAACAGAGCGCACGATATCATCGACGCTCGGAAAACATGGACAGCACAAATCAATCCAACCCTACCACTTGCGTTCGTTTTCACCGTGAGGGGATGTGGACGCGGGAGGCGGCACCCGCGGCGGTCGCGAGCGCCCGAAGCCCGGGTCGGGTCAGGGGTGCGCGCGAGCGGAGGGCGCGCTCACCTCGGCTCCCTTATCGATGGCGGCCCGCACCACCAGACGGCCGATACGGCCGAATCCGTTGATTCCGATCTTCGACATGGCGGACGATTACGAGTTCTGCGGACACACAGCAAACAGAGGTCGATCAGGCGCACCACGCCATTCCACGACGCATGTCGTCAGCTAGTGCGACAGACTTCCTCTCTCCCCGAGGGTCTGGTCTGCGTTGGGCTGGGGACCGAACGTTCTAAATCAGTCCTAGAAGACGTGTCCTAGCACTGCCGCCAGCACGAAAACAAGTTAGTAGCTTCGTTGCAAAACCAAGCAATCCACTATGTAGTCCGCTATGTAGTAATGTAGTCATTACGTAGTCATAGTCTCTTTCTCCCGGACCATTCCGTTGCACACTGCCAGTTATCCTGGAAAGCCAGCAACAGCGCAATTGCCCAGTACCGGGAATCACATGCCCGTCTTGGCTGGGCGTAACCCGTGACGACCGCAGCCGGCCGTCATTAAGGCTGGTCACGTGACCGGCGCCGGCACGTCCGGCCGCGGCAACAAGGCTGGCGGCCGTTGTCGCCCATGACCGCATGACGAAAGGGGTGGGTGGCGGTGCAGAGTATAAATAAACGGTCGAGGAGCGCCGCCAGACGGCGGGCCGTCACCGCCGCGGGCCGCGGCCCGGCTCGGCCGGCTCCAGTGGCGGCCGGGCGGTCCCCATGTGATGTGGTCGGCGCTCGCCGTGTGTCTGCTCGCCGCCTGCGCCGCCGCCGACTGCCCGTCGCCGGACGCCGCTGGCAGGCCGGCCGAGCTCGTCACAGCAGAGCTGGGCTCGCGCGCGCGGCTGCGCTGCCGGCTGGACGCGCGGCGCGCCACCATAAGCTGGGCGCACGAACGCCGGCGCCGCCTACTGGCGTTCACCGTCAACCGGTTCCGGTACACGGTGGTGGCGCGCTACCGGCTGGTGGCGGCGCGCGCGCCCTGGCCGCACTGGCTGCTCATCATCGACAGCGTGACGGCAGCCGACGCCGGCCTGTACCGCTGCCACGCGCTGTACGAGACGGCTGGGCGTCCGTCCAGCCGCAGCTGGCTGCGGCTGGCCGTGGTGGCGCCGGAGCGGGCGCTGCTGGACGGCAGCTCCAGCCGCCGGCTGCGCGCCGGCCAGCGGCTGGAGCTGAGCTGCGCCGCCCGGCCAGCCGTCACCTGGAGCCGGGACGGCGGCCCGCTGCCGGACGCCGGCCGCGCCACGGCCACCGCCGGGCCTGCCTGCGGCCGACTGCGGCTGGAGAACGCCACGGTCGCCGACAGCGGCGTATACAGCTGCCACGCGGCCGCACTGCAGCCGGCCAGTGTCGTCGTGCACGTGGTGATGCCGCCGCCGGCGCCAGCGCGCGCGGAAACCGGCGCCGAAGGAGCGGCGGCGCCGACACGCGCCAGTACTGTGACAGCAGTGATCGCAATTACGACTGGTACTGTGCTGATGACAAGAGTGGAATAGGAGCATAGTGAGCGATTTCAAGCTAAGTGAAAGCGGAAGATTGACAACTAATGTATGCCCTGTTGTTAGATGTTTGCCAAAAAATAAGCTATAAGCAAGATTTGTTCTCTGTGCAATACAATCTTTGTCATAATGTACACTTTCAAACTGCACCCCCAACTGTATCAAGTACAGTTTCCATATGTACTTAGCATAGTCAAAAACAATTTGTTACATTCACTGTCTTCTGAATGTAACATAACATGCTGACCACTGTAAGCTGCTTTGCAAATAAAGCAAGCATTTAACACTGCCTACATGCTCATTGTTGACTGGTTCAGGAACTGTTGGTGGAAGATGGAGCCTGGTCTTCAGCTGGGTAGACTGGATGCAGACAGGTTGAACCAGGATGAAGGTGCAGGAAAGCTTTCTGGAGTGAAGGGAGTAACATAATCCATGTTAAATTCAGGAGATGAGCATGCTAGTTTGCTTACAGGGACCAGTGGCATCAACACATGCTATGAATCTAACCCACAACCTCTCATCTCAGCGATGTGCCTCAATTATGGTGCTGTGCCTTCAGCAATCCATCATACATCTTGCTGTCAGTTACCTACACTCCTAATTTATTCTAGTTTAATGCTAACAAAAAACCTAGCAATGATATCAGGTTTTAAAGGCATGCCTTCATAAAAAAACAACTAGGGAAAAACAGGATGCAACATGCAGAATGACTCAGCTATCAAACTTAACCTCTAGATGTTAGGTCAAGGCAGAAAATAATGGGAGCTCCAACCCCTTTCCCCTTCCAAAGCATGTTGCTCCATGACAACTTAATGAGGGGAGGGGCTCCACACATGGTGGGTCAGTGCTTTCATTCTGCTAACCCTGCTGACAGGTTTTCTAGGCAAAGTCTGATGTCAGGCTGGGCTGGATTGTCTTCTAATCTTGGAATTTTTGCACCCTACTGCAAGTCAGTCCTTAAAAGACAGCAGACCAGCCAGCAAGATATTTGGGGCAGGTCCAATCCTATCCCCAATGGGTCAGCTAGCTTCTCTGTTTGGAGCTGGGCTGAAACCCTGGTGACTGGGAGTCTGAATGCAAGGGGAGGAATCTTACATGTACCTGGCATTACAATTCTTTATATTCCTACCACCAATAGGCCCATTCTTTTGCTCAATAAGTACCAAAAACTCACACCAAGTTTGACCCACCTCATTTCGCTTTACAACCTTATTTAATGATGCAGTTAAGCAGCATCTAAGATAGTAAAAAAAACAAAAAAACAAAACAATGAGGCTGCAAGCCACATGCTCTTGATTTATCTGTTCAACATAAGCAAAATACTCAAACCTTGTGCATAACTTCTTGCTGTGGTACATGGATTTTCTAGGTGAACTTATGGCTAGTGCTTATGCAAGCAGTTACATGCAGGACTGAATAAAACAATATGCCAGTAATTAAGGTACTATAGCACAGTCAAGACTCATAATATATTGGGTTACAGGCCCAGCCATTTTTCAACTAAATGTGACTCTTTAACTGGACATTTCTAGATGCACTATAATGCACTTTGTGGCTTTTCCCAGCCCATGCCAGGTCCAAAGGTACCTAACCCCAAATAACATGAGCTGCTTTTCTCCCAAAAAAAAACTACCCTGAATGTAATTCCTTGACCCAACTATGCCAGAACAAGACCTAGTCAAGATCTGTTATGCTGTTCAGACTGGCCATGGGAACCAAAATTAGAAATTCTAATCTTGGGCATCTTAAGTGCACCCCACTTCTATCCCATGTATAACTGATGACAACCTACTTATAGGGGTAGGTTGCTACTTGCATTTCTTGGTTAGCAACAGGATAGGGTTGTAATGGTATGTAATGACCACAATTGACTATCTTTCAGGCTCTTATACATATCTTATATCAAAAGTGGCCTCTCTGAAATGCCACTTGCACTTGAAAAGTGCTACCTTAATTTTTACAGCCTTTCACCTTCCACGATCAAAAATGTTCAGTTCATTCTAAGGCTTTTCAGCTTCTATGCAACCCTTTGCCTACCCGACCTAGCCCTGAGCCAAAGTTCCCAATCAAATACCAATCACACTGCCACACAACATTCACAAAAGCCAGAACACAAATCAGGACGGATGATCGCACACATATAACCACTTCGGTTCCTGCCTTCTCCAAGTGACGCCCACTACGGAGCCACGGGTTGAACCTATCGCAAAATGTATAGAGTCCGATCTCCGCAAGGAGCTCTAAAAACATGTCCATACAACATAGTAGCAATTACGTGGTTTCCTTGTAACCTTCTACGAATGTGCACAGCGTTTGGAAAGTGAAATGCACCCAAAAACCCTCACCAAAATCACCCGAACGAAGACCTTACCTTCACCTCCTCAGTCACCTTCAGGAAGGTCGAAACGCCGGTCAGAGGAAAGAGAAGTAAAGTTTTGGCAAACGACGGAATCGTGATAAATGTTTTATTCAAGGCTGTTAAAAAAGGAGATTCTGAGCAAAACATGGGTCAAATTACTACTTCCTAGAACAAAATGACTTACTTTTCACTAGGTCATGCTCGACACACATCGTGCTATTTGAGGTTTACAGCACTATAAGTGTTATGCAGTGATGGCGCAAATGAGACAATATGTTGAAAAATGTAACCAATACGTGTCTCACGAACATTCATGTTATGTCTGTACGAGTCCAGTCATAATGCTGCAAAATCATGAGATTCAAATGCTGTATGGGCTGCATGCATGCAAGCACACGCTTTTTATGAGGTGTTTGTGGCATTGCCTGATTCATGGGATATTCCATGGGGTGGTGCTTTCCAGGGATTCTTCAAAGACAACTTGGTTGTGTACCACACTGAAAAGGCATATATTATGCCAAACATGTCCAGCAAAGTTGTGACACTGTGGCAACAGTTAAGATACATATGCACTTTAAATTAAGTTTGGCACACTGCCACCTCCCTATTTAAAATATAGAGCCTGTGATTCAAGAAATTAAAAAGCACAGACAGTGACAAACTGTGTCCTCAATAATTTAACATTCAAATTAAAAAAAGAAGTAAAACTTCTCTGTCTAGAGCTTGGCTCATGTGAGCATGATGATCAGAACACAGCTGATCTGATGACCCATACACAACCAGCGCAGTGGATGACTGCATGCTGCGCCAGGGAGTGGGGGGGGGGGGGGGGGGCAGGTATAACATTACTATTATAGCCAATTGTTGCTTACATTCTGTATCTGTCTCCCAGGGCTCAGTTTTGAACAGTATTTGCCTGAGGTGTGGGCAGGGAAGGGGAATGGTTGTTAAAGAATTGGCCTAGGTGAGGATGGAAAGTTATTTGCCCTAAACTATCTATGAGTGCCATCCTGTCAGAAATTTTAACAACCATTGTACTCAAAACTAATAGCATGAATTTGGTAGTTCATACAGTGTATATCATCTTTTGCAACATATCTGTACCATGGTGTGCATTTAGGAAATCATTGGGGTCCTCTGTTTACATATCTGAAAGGGAGATAAAGTACTGAAGGGTTGCTCTTCAACAGACAAAATACTGGATAAATATGTCTCTGCTTGGAATAACTGCATGGAAATTATTTACTCATTTCCTCTTTAGATGCCATGCATACTTTTTTGGTCATTATTTATAGTCATGTGATAGGTATACATTATGTTAGTATAAGATGTAGCTAAGCTTCCACTAATTACAAGAAATGTCACCAGTCATGCTTTCATGCATGCTCATCACTCTTCTTGACCATAGTGCTTTGAATGTTGAATGGTGCTATGACCTGTTGCTGATTTCATTGATCACACATGCTTTCAGCTGGTTCCTGCCACATTAATAAAACCGAATAAGATTCAAATTATTTCAGAAACTAGATGTAAAGTTTAGTGTGACTAATAATATTTCTAGAGTTTTTAACTTGATTTCAAATGTGCATCTAGCCAAGAGGCACGGTGAGTGTAAAATTGATGGATAGTGTCAGTGCCACTAAGGGATTGAAGGACAATATGAAGCATCCCATAGAAAAATTGCAATTCTGAGAGTAGAGAATAGGAAATAGTTACTTGTTTATAGGTGGGACTCTCTTTGTTAGATATATACATGTCAGATATGCCCATAACTATACTTGTGTAACTATATATATATATATATATATATATATATATATATATATATATATATATGTATATATATATATATATATTATATATATATATATATATATATAAATTGTAGTCTTCTCATTAACCAACACATGCTGGGTGTTGAAAGAAAAGATGTGTCATGTGGTTTATTGTATTATTTTTAGCATATCTTGCAATTTCTAAGCGAACACGGCACACATCACAGCAGGTCCACTGAAAGGAGTGAACTGCGTTTTGGATATTTCCAAAACATACTTTAATGAGATCTCAGGACCAGTTACATGTAATAATGGCACTGGGTAGTGCCACTTTAGCACCATCAAGACGTAATAAGGTACCAATTTTGATCATCCGAGTCCAAATGGCGCCGGCAACGCTTTGTAGCCGCATCGCGCTTCCTCCCCGCGATCGTGACCGCTGTCGTCATGGCAACTGCCGTGTGCACCTGTACCGTGCAAATAAAAGAACGTTTCTGATGTGCCCAGCTGGCGGCAAGGGCCTGTTTCAGAAAAGCACGCCGGTGTAAGTTTAATCGGTGCGTCACTAATATTGTGGACCATGTGATTATCTCATTGCCAAAGCCAAGGTGCGCCTTGAAAAGAGCGACTTTGGTGAATGCAATAGGGGAGAAATGCAAGCCATAATATAGAACATTCGTGAAATTTGCAGGATAATAGCTTCATATTTGCACATTCTTTTGTTTAAGCATAGTGTTTCAAGCTTTTGCAACAGTTATCACACGAACAACATTGGTGTGTTGCAAACATTACAGAACACATGTTTGAAAAAGGACAAATTAAATCTATCACCTTCATAGTGTTGAGCAGGGAGTCAAACGAGATTCTCCCGCAGGAGTAGCTACCTCAAATCGAAATTATAAGCGTATCAGCAGAAATATTTCGAGAAAACTGGTGCCACTGGTCCAGTCGCGCGTGTCTGATTTAGAAATAAGTGCAAGGTACAAAAAGGTGTGATACTCCCTTTAAAGGAACACCAGCGACTACAGCAGGCATGACAGAGCCGTAGAGTTATGGTCGTAACGGCGACCATAACTCGTAACTTCAAACGTCGCTATCCCACAGAGGCCGATAGCGTTAACCGCTTGGCTATGACGTCCATGTCTTGTGTAATTGATGAGCAGTACCCCGCGCATGAAGTGATCTTCGTGGCATGTGCTTAACTCACAAGATTTGTGATTTGCAGGGAAATGAATCCCAAAGCCTAGTGGAAGAATCCGTAGTGGAAGAATCCCAAAGCCATCATGGGTGGAAGAGGCGAAGGAAAGAGAAACTATGATGAAACTGGATTTGAACCATGGGGAGGCTACATGGCAGCCAAAAAGTCGAAACTGGAAAACCAGTTTGAAAACATGCCTGGTAAAAACTCCGATGGCATTTTTAAGAATATCGCAATTTTTGTGAACGGTTTAACCAACCCATCGTCCTCAGAACTAAGGGACATAATGCTGCAGCATGGCGGAACGTACCACCACTACTACAAAAGTCATGGCTCCTGTCCAACGACCCACATCATTGCTTCTAACCTTCCCCACGCGAAGATAAAGGAGCACCAAAGAAAGCTAGTGGTGCGGCCGGAGTGGATTTCCGACAGTGTCAAGGAGGCCAAGCTGCTGGACTACCGGCCGTACCTGCTGCTGCCTCCGCAGAACCCGCTGCTGTCCTGTTTCGCAACAGCCTCCACGGGCAAGGACTCGCCCTCGGCGGAGGCCGCCGCCTTGGACGGCGGCTCGGAGAGCGGCGGAGAGCCTGCCGGCGGCGTCGAGCCTACGCCCGGCTCCCCGCCCGGCTCGCCGGGCCAACCGGACGGCGGGGCGGCCGGGCGCAGTCCGGTCAAGCGGGCCGGCGAGCCCGACTTCCTCAAGGAATTCTACCAGAAGTCGCGGCTGCACCACATCTCCGAGATGAAGGCTATCTTCAAGGAATACGTCAGCCAGCTGCAGGAGAAACCAGCCGACGGCTTCCCGGAGCGGGCCCGGCTGCTGGCGTGGTGTCGGGACCAGGCCGACGCCGACGCCGACGCCGAGGCCGAGCCGGAGGACGAGGCACTGGTCGCCGTCGATCAGCCCGTGATCGCGCACGTCGACATGGACTGCTTCTTCGTGTCGGTGGGGCTGCGCTCGCGGCCGGAGCTGCGCGGCCGCCCGGTGGCCGTCACGCACTCGCGCGCCGGCGCCGAGCCGGCCCGGCGCGCCGGCGAGGACCGCGCCGCGGAGGCGGACGCCTACCGGCGCCGTCACGGCGGCGTCGACGGGCCCTCGTGGGCGGATGCGGCGCCGCGCGGCTCTATGGCCGAGATCGCCTCCTGCAGCTACGAGGCGCGCGCTGCTGGCGTCCGTAACGGCATGTTCATGGGGGCCGCGCTGCGGCTGTGCCCCAACCTGCAGACGATCCCGTACGACTTCGCGGCGTACCGCGAGGTGGCGCTGGCGCTGTACGACACGGTGTGCGGTCTGACGCGCCGCGTGCAGGCCGTCAGCTGCGACGAGCTGCTGCTGGACTGCACGGAGGTGCTGCGTGAGACGGGCGTGGCACCGCTGCGCCTGGCCGCCTACGTGCGCCAGGCGGTGCGCCGCGCCACCGACTGTCCGGCCTCGGTCGGCATGGGGCCCAACATCCTACTGGCGCGGCTGGCCACGCGCCGCGCCAAGCCTGACGGCCAGGCGCACGTGACGGCCGAGCAGGCGGCCGACTTTATCGGTGAGCAGCGGCTGCGCGACCTGCCTGGAGTGGGCCACGCCACGGCCGAACAGCTGCGTCGGCTGGGGGCCACCAACTGCGCCGAGCTGCAGCGGCTGGAGCTGGCGCAGCTGCAGCGCCAGCTCGGCCCGCGCACCGGCCAGCAGCTGTACGACTTCTGCCGCGGCCGCGACGAGCGACGCATCACGCCGCACGCGCCGCGCAAGACGGTCTCGGCCGAAGTCAACTACGGCATCCGCTTTAGCGACGCCGCCCAGATGTCGACCTTCGTCAACGAGCTGTGCGACGAGCTCCGCGCGCGCATGGTGGCCGCCGCCTTCCTAGCCGACGTGGTCACGGTGAAAGTGATGGTGCGCGCGGCCGAGGCACCGGCCGACTCAGCCAAGTTCCTGGGCCACGGCCTGTGCGACACACTGACGCGCTCCGGTCGGCTGGCGGCACCCACCGACCGCGCCGACGTGCTGCGCCGCGAGGTGGCGGCGCTGCTGGCCGCGCTGCACGTGCCGCCAGCTGACGTGCGCGGCCTGGGCCTACAGGCCGGCCGCACGGCGCCAGCGGCGGCGGCGGCAGCGGCACGGCCGCGGCCGCCGGCTCGGCCGGCCACCTACTCCGCCGAGGAGGTGGCGCGCCTGCTGGGCGTCAGCTCGCCGCCGCCGCCGCCTCCGCCGCCGCTGCCGGCGGTGCCGCAGTTCTGCGGCACGACAGAGCCGAGCTGCATCCGGCGGCTGGTGGCAGAGTGGCTGGCGTCCGGGCCGGCGCCCGAGCCCCAGGACGTGGCCGCGCTCGCCACGTACGCCGCCGCGCTGGTCGAGGCGCGCCTCCTGGAGCCGGCGCGCGGCCTGCTGGCGCTGATGCGGCGCCGGCTCGGCCGCGCCGGCCCGCCGCCGTTGGCCTGGCGCCACGCGCTCCAGAGCGTCACGGACGCCGTGCAGGGTCGCGTTCTGGCGCGGCACGGCGGCCGCCTGCAGCTGCCTCCCCTGCCCCGCTGATACCGGCCGCCGACTGCCGCGGCTCGGACTGGCGCCCTTTCCGTTGGCAGTTTACTATGCCGCTTGACCTGAGGTCGTGTGTGGCGCCGTCTGATGGTGGAGAAAGGCTGTGAGCGGTGTAGGTGCGCGAGCGTTGCGGCATTCGTTAAGATATTCCTTGCGTATGGTGGTTCGCTTGTGTTCTAAGCGCGCGTCCGTAGCGGATGAGTGATACGCGGACGCAGACGGGGACCCTGGCGTCAGCTAGCATTTAGCCACGGATTTCACTCACTTTTCTCCAAGTTTGAGGGAAGGGCTAGAGCCCCCTCAATTGAAAAGGGCAGTACACCCATGGTCGGGATGGGTACCTCTCTTCCTACGATGTGCAATAAATAAGTAAGTAAACACCCGAGTGCTAGATTTTGTGATGCATCGACGTACCCGGGCTGTTGATAACTGATTCGCCTGATATATATATATATATATATATATATATATATCGATATTGGTATTGCTAGGTATTCGAATGTATGCGTATCGCCGGGTATATCGCCTGCGTTCGACGGTTCCAAAATTTGCGACAATACCGTATTCGTGTACGTTGTAACTAGTTTGCTCCTCCTGACGTCCCCTTGGACATATGAAACCATAAGGTCTCCTAACAACCTGTATTACCACTGACTCATTGATTTTTGCATAGAACAGTAAACAATACCGCACGTACCCCAGCGTGACACGCAAATCATCTTTGGCTACAAAACCCCGGCTCCCCCTGCGCTAGACATACGCGGCTTTGATATGCGCCCGTGTGCTGAGACATCAGCGGACAACGTTCACACCCAATCGCTCCCCAATAAATAGCCCAGGCATGTGCACGTCCACACAGTGGTGCCGGATAGCCTCTGCACAGTCTCATCAATGAAAGTCTTCCTATCCATCCCGTTTTGATCGCTGTCCTGGTGCGAGTACCAGGTCAAAGGTCTAGGCGGATACATTCAAGTGACACTAAAAATATCTCGTCACCACGCGGTAGCAAGGATACATGAGTGACCCCGTGCATAAGAGACACAGCCGGAAAAGTATTAGCAGTTGACGCGGTCCGCTGACGAAAGGCACGCAGCGCCGTCACCCAGTGTTGTTCGATACGTGTTCAAATCGGCAGCGCATGCTGTGCCGCCGCAGTCACCCCGAACTGCCTCGTTACACATACACACCTGGACGTGGCTACAGGCCCGTCAAATCTAGCCCACTGAGCATCACGATCACATCCCCCGGAAGGCACGCTGTCCTGGTCTGGACGCTGCGCTGCCAGCTGGCGCCACAGGCTCACCAGCTTGGAGGCAGACGGTCCATGCACTCTAGACTGGACGCCGCCACTGCGCGGCCTCCGTGCCGCTCCGCCGAGACAGCTATGCTCGCTGCCCCGCCCAGCCACTGCAGCATCGGCTGCCCCCCATCGTCGGCGCACCACCTCCCTGGTGCGCCGACGCAGCCACGCCCGGTCACGGGTACTGGGCTCGGGCCGCGCTCTCCTGAACCAGCGCACCACCTCCCTGGTGTGCCGACGCAGGCCACGCCCGGTCACGGGTACTGGGCTCGGGCCGCGCTCTCCTGAACCAGCGCACCACCTCCCTGGTGCGCCGACGCGGCCACGCCCGGTCACGGATGCTGGGCTCGGGCCGCGCTCTCCTGAACCAGCGCACCACCTCCCTGGCACGCCGACGCGGCCACGCCCGGTCACGGGTGCTGGGCTCGGGCCGCGCTCTCCTGAACCAGCGCAGCAGCTCCCTGGCACGCCGACGCGGCCACGCCCGGTCACGGGTGCTGGGCTCGGGCCGCGCTCTCGGGCGCCTCACTGCTGGTCGGACATGAGCTTTGACGGCGGGACGGTATGCTTCAGCTCTTCGTAGCAGCTCTTGCCGAAGTTGATCAGTTCCGTGATCTGAAACGGGGGGAAGCGAGAATGATCGGGTGTCGCCGACTGACGGGGCTCGCCGCGAGCGGGCGTCGCGCACCCAGCGGCACGCTCGGCGTGCGGTCCCGCAGTAGTCAACACAGCAGACCACCGCCCCACGCTCCAGCTCGCTCTGAGGAGGGAGCACACACCGACCCGGGCCACAGCCCCGATGGGCAGGCCGGAAGCGGCCGGTCTTAATGCCGACACTGTGCATACCGCACGCATGCCAGTGTCACCCCACCAGCAGTCGCTCTCACGCACACTATCCACACGTACGCTCGGCGTAACACACTAGCCGGCGCATATGGCCGGCCCGACAGCCGACCACGTCACGGCCAGCCTGACTTGGCCGCGGAGCTCGGCCGGTCGGATATCCTGGCCTGCCCAGCCGCTCCCCGACGTACGCTGATCGCCACGTTGCTGTCCTGGCACTTGATGGACGGCTGGCTGTGCTTGCGGCCCGCGCCGGACCCGGCCACGGTCAGCACCACCTTGTAGATATGTCCGCCGGCCGGATCGCGCTCGATCGAGGGACGACACTCCTCCAGCTCACTGGAGCGGGCGACGGCGGGTTAGCAAAGCCTGCCTGCCAGGAGCCGCAGCCGCAGCCGCAGCCGCAGCCGCAGCCGCAGCCGCCACACGCCCGGCCCGGCACAGACGCAGGCACGGACCGTCACGCCGCACCGACGGTGTGACGGCACCGGTCCGCTCACACGTCAGCGGTCTCAGATCTCCCACCTAACTGACGCATCCACACACCGACTCTCCAAAAAAACTTCCATTGTGAGCCAATATGGCAGAGAATCCAAAGCCGGCGAAGACTACAGCAACGTCCCGTCGCGAGCCAGGCGGCCATAGGTTACAGCGCCGCGTCAGAGCGTGGTCCGCCACACGCCAGCAGCAGCCGCAGCCCGTGCCACCAGCCGGCAGCACACGGCCCCGGCGTGCTCGCGCCACCCACCTGAAGTGCACGGCGAAGCCCAGCGTGAAGACGCCCGGCCGGCTGTGAGAGAGCACGCGCACCATCTCGGTGGAGATGAGCACGCGCAGGTCGCCGTCGCCGCAGCTCAGCAGCTCCGGGTAGACGGCGTACCCGGAGCCGTCCAGTGTCAGCCGCTCGGAGCCGGCGCACAGCAGTTCGTACGCCACAAACCTGAAACACAGCGCGCGCGCACGGCGGTCACTCGCACATGCAGCGTTCAACATGAGGCCTCAGCACCCTGTAACAACTCAACTCTTCCGGACCGGCTTAACGAGGAGCCGCCCCCCCCCCCCCCCCGCAGACGACTCGAGTCCAGGTGTCGCGCAGCAGCAGACGGCGAGCAGTCTCGCGCCACCGTACGTCCGCCAGGGTCACTGCCCGGCCGCCCATCCCGCCGCCTCCAAACAGCGGAGCTCCGTACAGCGCGTAAGCCACACATCGCGGCGGGCCACGGCTCGGATGAGGCTCCGCGCGGCGCCCAGCAGGCAGCCGAGCCGTGAGCGCGGCGCCAAAGCTCACCTCTCCTCGGGCCTGCGGTCTGTGAACGTTTCGAGCAGCTCCTGGCCGTCGCCGTCCTTGCTGCTGTACCTGGGCAGCAGGCCGCCGGCCCCCTGCACCACGCGGATCGGACGGATTCGCGGCGGAGCCTGCCGGCTTGAGCTGCCGACCGAGCGGCGACGGTCTCACACACACGCACACAGGTCACACTCGCACACAGACTGCTAGAGTGGCGGCACGCTGACATCACTGGAGTAACGCGCACAGGCGCACCTGCACTGGACAGGTGACACCCACCCAGTGTACAGCCACGGCTGAGTACACGCCAGTCATCACCCGCAATCGGCAACAAACATTGTCAGGCGCGGCTACCATTGTCTCCTTGCTCAAAGCGTGTTTATAGGCGGGCACTCGAGTCTAATTGCCTGCCTTTGCCGTGACTACGCCATGAAAAGCTTTGCAATGAAACAGACAGTGGCCGGCGCCTGCCTTCCACACAGCTTCAATTCCTGGCATGTGGACGAGCGCTGACGTCTGCTAGCATCGTCCTAACACATCGCAGCCTTGAATGCCACACGCTCGGGTACCAGCACACCAGACCTGGAAGCCCCACCTGCTGCTGGTGTCTTTGACGGCGTTGGCAGCGCCCGTCGCCAGGTCGAGGAAGCCGACAGCCGGCTTGGTCACTGTGCCTACGATGCCCTTCCCGATGCCGGACAGAAATCCCTGCAACGCAACGTTTGTAAGACCTGAACGGGACGAAGGCATTCACGGCGCTTACACGGATAGCTTCGCTAGCAGCATGTCGAGATACTACGTTAAAGCAGGACCAAACGCACTGCTTTGGGCTCAAGAAGCAAAGCATAGAACAGCGTCTCACTTGCTAAAGCTCGTAGCACACATTTTCGTCCAGACTGTGCAGAGGCATTGCTCGCACCAAGCTGCAGCGGCAACATAACCGCTGATCGAGCGGCCGCGCACACAACCGGCGGGCTCAGCACCGCAGCTGGCCTGCCCGGTCCGGGTCAAAAGCCTGGGTAGCGGTCAGCAGCTGTCGGGCCCGGTCCACTCGCACTGACCCAGACTCCCTCGTTGGAGGCGCCCTGTATGGGCTGCACGACCAGCGAGGAGGCGCCGCCCCAAAGGCCGTAGCCGAAGCCCTTGAGGCCGGCCAGCAGGTGATCCTCAGAGCCCGCCGTGTGCTGGGAGCGGATGCGGCGCCGCTTGTCGTCGTGCTTCTCGTCCAGTGTCGCCCAGCCGACGGCGTCCGAGATCGAGCCTGAACGCACCGAGCGGGCGGCGTCACCCCGACGGTCCGGCGTCAGGACCCGACAGTCCGGCGTCACTCCCGACAATCCGGCGTCACCCCCGACGGTCAGACATCACCCCCCACAGTCCGGCGTCACCCCCGACAGTCCGGCGTCATCACCGACAGTACGGCGTCACGCCCGACAGTCCGGCGTCACCCCCGACAGTCCAGCGTCACCCCCGACAGTCCGGCGTCACCCCCGACAGTCAGACATCACCCCCCACAGTCCGGCGTCAACCCCGACAGTCCGGCGTCACCCCCGACAGTTAGACATCACCCCCCACAGTCTAGCGTCACCCCCCACAGTCTGGCGTCACCCCCCACAGTCCGGCGTCACCACCGACAGTCCGGCGTCACCACCGACAGTCCGGCGTCACGCCCGACAGTTAGACATCACCCCCCACAGTCTGGCGTCACCCCCGACAGTCCGGCGTCACCACCGACAGTCCGGCGTCACCCCCGACAGTCCGGCATCACGCCCGACAGTCCGGCGTCACCCCCGACAGTCCGGCGTCACCCCCGACAGTCCGGCGTCACCCCCGACTTAGCAACGGCTGGTGCAGCTCAAGCTCACCACGCGGAGTTATGGAGCACATGTCAAGCCAACGATCAGCAGTGAACCACTCCAAGAGCGACATCAGACGGCAGCTCTTGCCTAAAGCATAAGCGCGTCCGTCGTATGGACAGCGACCAGTGAGGCCACTGGATCGGCGAGCAGGGCCCACACTGGCCCGGCGCCGGGCGCCCGGCTCTTACCGGTAACCTTGGCCGTGGAGTTGGCCACGCCGTGTGTGACGTTCTTGACCAGCGCGCCCAGGTCGCCCTCCATCACCAGGCCCGACACGCCCTCGCTGACGTCGCTGAAGAAGCCCAGCGGGTTGCCCAGGAAGTCGAACGACCCCAGGATGATGGCCGCCTGCGACCTCAGCTCCTGCGCACACGGATGTAGATACACACTTCAGATGGCATCCACGACGCGCCTCTGTGACGGTGATTACGGAACTGAATGCGTCATGGCATCGAGGACAGCGAAGTCACACGGAAGCCCGTTTAAAAAGGCTTCGTCATGACACACCCGTCCGTTCGCGTATCTGTCGTGACCGGTGGCGGCCGTCGCGGTGGTCGCCGATTCGTCACGCACGCAATGACCGCACGTCACTGAGCTCCAGCACGGCCGCCACATCGGCTGATCAGGCGCACAGTGCACACAGCCGCGGCCGATTTCAAAGCAACGGCACAACAACCAGCCAGTGCTGGATTTACAATATATCTCAACAGTTTTCAGCAATACATGGCTAAGTGCTTCGAGCAATTCCTTCGAGTGCACAAAAACTGCAAAACTGCAAAACCACCAAAATGAATACTTTTGCACCATCCACAGAAGACAATGCGCCTTTGACACAGTGAGGCCGCCGGCGAGGTCACTAGTGAAGTCGAACAAGGTTGCCTTGTGAAGACAGGTGGGGCGCTGCCGACCGCGGCCGCCGCCGGCCCCGCTCGCGAGGTCAGCGACAGCTCACCGCCTTGTAGTGCTCCAGCACCGAGTCGATGAGTTTGGCGGCCGTCTCGAACGGGTGGCAGCGCACGAACGGGTCCAGCTCCACCTGAGCGCCCTCGAACTGCACCAGCCGGCGACCCAGCTTGTCGCGGGTGGCGGCCAGCTCGGGCCGCAGCCGGGCGGAGGTCAGCACGCTCAGACGCACCTGCCATCAGTCGCCACTCAGGTCATCAGTCACCAGAGGTCAGCACGCTCAGACGCACCTGCCGACCGTCAATACTCAGGTCATCAGTCACCAGAGGTCAGCACGCTCAGACGCACCTGTCATCAGCCACCACTCAGGGCATCAGTCACCAGAGGTCAGCACGCTCAGACGCACCTGCCGACCGTCAACACTCAGGTCATCAGTCACCACACAGGTCATCATTCACCCCTCAGGTCATCAGCCACCACTCAGGTCATCAATCACCACTCAAGTCATCAGTCACCACTACGATCAACAGTCGCCACTCAGGTCATTACTGAACAGAGGTCAGAACCCTCGGACACACCTGCCATCCGTCACCAGACTCATGCCAGCGCACCAAAACGCGTTTATCGCGTGTCACCAAACTTTTCACAATCACTAAAAATCAACAGCCACCTGGATTGAGTGCGCTCAGATGCACCAGCCACCAGGACCCAGGCCAGCAGTCACCCGAAGGTTAGTATGCCCACACAAACCTCAGCCCAGTCATCAGTCACCAGGCGCAGGCCACTGGCCGCCACAGGTCGGCTACGTCCAGACGTACCGGTCGCACGACTCGGGTCATCATTCCCCAGAGGCGGCCGGCGGGCTGCCAGAGTTCAGCGGCTGAGAGGACGGACAGCCCCGACAGACAACGGTCACCGTTCATCCATCAGGTCCGCAGGCATCACGGGACGGCAGTCGCGAGGGGTCCGCAGGCATCACGGGGCGGCAGTCGCGAGGAGTCCGCAGCCATCACAGGACGGCAGTCGCGAGGAGTCCGCAGTCATCACAGGACGGCAGTCACGAGGGGTCCGCAGTCATCACAGGACGGCAGTCGCGAGGAGTCCGCAGCCATCACAGGACGGCAGTCACGAGGGGTCCGCAGTCATCACAGGACGGCAGTCACGAGGGGTCCGCAGCCATCACAGGACGGCAGTCGCGAGGAGTCCGCAGCCATCACAGGACGGCAGTCACGAGGGGTCCGCAGTCATCACAGGACGGCAGTCACGAGGGGTCCGCAGTCATCACAGGACGGCAGTCGCGAGGAGTCCGCAGCCATCACAGGACGGCAGTCGCGAGGAGTCCGCAGTCATCACAGGACGGCAGTCACAGCAGGAAGGTCAGCAGTCATCACGGGATGGCGATCAAAGCAGGAAGGTCGGACCGGACGCCAGTCGCCAGAGGCTAGTCGGGTGAACAGAAGACCAGCGGTCACGGAGGTCGGAAGTGACGTCAGAAAACAGCCGGGTAAACGTTCATACCCAGGTGCATCCCTGCATTCAAAACGAATATTCACGGAGAGCGTTACTCTTCGACATGCCCTGCAGCCCTCCCCCCCCCCCCCCCCCCCACACACACACCGCCAGGACACGTCGACGCGGGACCGCCGCCGGCCGGACGAGCAGCTGGGAGCGGCGACCGCGGTCGCGCCGGGGCGCTCACCTTCTTTAGGGCCAGCTCCAGTCTCCGGCAGTAGTAGCGCGTGTTGTGGGAGGAGGTGGCCGCCTTCAGCGCTCTCTGCGTCTCGAGGTCTGACTCCTCCAGCTGGTTCACCTCCGAGCTGGCGGCGCGAGCGCACGTTGTCCGAGCAGGCTGAGACTCGGGCCGGGCCGAGCCTCGATACGGGTCCAGAGTGCGGCCGCCCGACACACCGGTCACATGGCGTGCAGGAAAGCTTGCAGGTGTGGTCGATCACACAGAACAACTGAGCTCGGGGACAACAACGGGTGCACTCAGTCGGCGTTTGTTTGTCGGCATTGAGGCATATGATCGGCTGGTCGCCAGACAGACAGACTGATAAGTCACTTGGGTAGCTGTCAGAGCAAAGATACTCACGCGTCGTCGCTGTAGCCGATGAAGTGTAGCAGGTGGTACAGCAGGCGCTCTTCCAACGTCACAGTGAGGTCCTTCACAGACACCACCAGGTGCTGGCAAGACATGTCGGTCAACTCGCGCAGAGAATACGTGGCGGCGACGGCCTAAACCAGGGGACTAATCCACCCTTCTCCGGTGAACCGGTCAGGCAGAGGCACGCGACAGCCCCCCGCCCCCCACCCAACACACACACACACACATACACAAGCGACAGCCAGGCACGCTCAACAGATCTCACCAACCTTCCACCCCGTCATCGCTGCAGAGCACTCTTACCGGCCTCGGCTGCCACCGACCTGGCTGATAAAGGCCGCGGCAAGAGCTTGCACACGCCGACATCAGCCAACAACCCCGCACACAATTAGCACGGTGGCGGTGCGCCTCGCGGCTGGAAACCTCGAGAGTCTGTCCCATGAAAATCTGAGAGAGCCGCACCTCGAAGATCTGTACGCGCTGGCAGGCGCTGGGCACGGCGTGGGCGGCGAAAGCAGACGGCCGGCAGGTGGCGGCGCTCGTCGCCGGCCGCGCCCGGCGTCACGTGCAGCACGCAGGGCGCCTGCGCGTCGGCCAGCTGGCAGTCGGCCTGCAGCAGGCGCACGCTGCCGTCGAGCGCGTGGCGCGCCGCCGTGCGCCGGTACTCGGCTGCGATGTCGCCCAGATAGACGAACAGCAGCTCGGCCGGCGGCGAGCTCGACACCAGGCTGACGCCCAGCCCTGGCGGTCGGCGCCACAGGCGTCAGTGCGCTGACAGCTGGTGCGGGGGCAGCACTGGTCACGGAGGCTAGACCGTCACACACGACACAGACCGGGGTTTACTGATCGTCAGCACCGCTCCACACTCCGCGGCCTGCTGCGAGCTTGACCTCATGCACTGGAGTGTGCCGGGCGGAGGCCTGGCTGGCGGCTGCGCGACGGCGGCCGCGCGCGCGCGAGCGCCGGTCGGCCGGCCCCAGCGGCGCCCACCTGCCGGTAGCTGCAGACTGACAGTCAGCTCCGTCTGGCAGGGCGGCCGCTCCTCGGGAGAGTCGTCCGCCGCCAGCAGCCGGGACGCGTTGTTCTCGCCCACCACCACCCAGGCCTGCCGGCGGCCGCGCCCAGTCAGCGGGCGGCGCACACTGCCGCCGGCCTGTCGCCTCCCGCCACCGGACCAGGCGGCCGACGCCGTGGGCTAGCAATGCACCCGAGGCAACCTACAGTCTAGACACCAAAACAAACCAGAAGTAACACACCTAACACATAGGTCAACTAGCTACCAGATGTCTTATCTCTGAATACATGAACGCCAACAAATAAATGACGCACCGCTTTTCGAGACATCGTTGATCATTTTGTTCAGGCTAATGAAAATAAGTGTTACATGATGAGACCATAAACCACCATCGTGAAGGCCAGCTCACTCGACGAGCCGCGACTGGCGCGGCAGGTCCGCCTCATGCCTGCTGACACGGCAGACCGCGCTGACGTCCCCCGGAGCGGACGGGCGTACCTTAGCCTGCGCGTCTGTGAGCTGCAGCACGCGGGTGGGCCCGTCGGTGACGATGCGGACGCTGAGCTGGCCCGACCCGGGCCACTGCATCTGCGGCTGGATAGCCTGCTCCGGCGGCACGGCGGCCGACGCCGCGAGGCCGGCGGACGGCACCGGGCCCAGCACCGCCTGACTCCCTGTCAGACAGTGGGACCAGTCAGGGGACACACACCAGGCCCAGCACCGCCTGGCTCCCTGCCTGACAGGGGGACCGGTCAGGGGACACGCACGGGACTCAGCAACGCCTGACTCCCTGCCCGACAGGGGAGGGGGACCCGTCAGGGGACACACACCAGACCGAGCACCGCCTGACTCCGTCAGACAGGGGGACCGGTCAGGGGACACACACCAGTCCGAGCACCGCCTGGCTCCCTGCCAGACAGGGGGACCGGTCAGGGGACACACACCAGACCGAGCACCGCCTGGCTCCCTGCCAGACAGGGGGACCGGCCAGGGGACACACACCAGGCCCAGCACCGCCTGACTCCGTCAGACAGGGGGACCAGTCAGGAGACACGCACGGGACTCAGCACCGCCTGGCTCCCTGCCAGACAGGGGGACCGGTCAGGGGACACACACCAGACCCAGCACCGCCTGACCCCCCCCCCCCCGCTAGGCAGGGGGACCGGTCAGCGGACACACACGGGCCGCAACACCGCCTGGCTCCCTGCCAGACAGGGGGACCGGTCAGGGGACACACGCCAGACCCATATCCCTCTGGCTTACCAGACTGGTAGGAACTCTAAATGATTGGAGGAAGGGCCCCTTACCACACAATATTCAGATGAAGGCGCCGCCAGACCTCAGCGTCCTCAAGATCACACAAATGCCGACGCCAACAGACGCATGCATACAGCCATCACTTCACTACTGAGCTAGCTAACAACCCGAACAAGAGCGTAACACGGAATACACATACCGTGGAGCTTAACGATGTCAGCCGTCATAATCTTGACACAAGCAAACGCACCACAATGTGAAACGTTACCTTATGTTGATGCGTTATAAGGTTTGCTCACTCACACGGCCTACGTAATCGAAGGGCTAATACGCCGGCTCTGAGATATCGGCAGTTATCTCACGCAAGCTGAAACGGCAGGGGGATCGGTTGCAGCATGCGTTCACGATTCTAAAACTGTCGGTTGCCAAATCAGCCAGTCGGACACTTACAAAATGGAACACGTATTTTGGGTTGATACGAGGTATTGGTACAGGGAGTTCTGGGGCAAACGTTTGTAACACGCGGGGCAAACGCAGCGGGAATGTTGCGCGTACACTGTGGCGTGACGTGTCATCTCCGGCACAGCACAGCACACGGGTCATCGCACACCACAGCACACGGGTCACCGCACAGCGTTACCAGGAGGGCGTGCATTCCAATACAAAGCTTACGCACAAGGCTCCCACCGACAGCTCCCAGCACGGGCTACAAAACGGCGGCAACAGTCAGAACAGACTGGCGGCACCTGGTCAGCACAGTGGACACCACGTGGCAGCCCACCCGGGCTTATCATCCCCGACAACGACGCCAATACAGGGGCTCGAGTAAGCATCGCGTTCATACAGAAGGTACGGCCATCCATGTAAAGCACACCCGCTGCCCCACAGACGTCGTCGCGACATGACCTGACTGCATATGACACCAACGCCGTGCTCCCACGTCGCTTCCACGCCCGAGTCTGTGTTGCTTCTGAGACGCGTTCCCAGCGCGCGCGTGCTCCCGTTCCCTGCACGCGCGCGCGTGCCTGCTGGTGGCGGCGCCGGCCGGCTCGCGGTCCCCCGTCGCCCGGCTCACCTCTGCGCAGGCCGGCGAAGCCGTCCTGTGCCTGCACGTACAGGTTAGGGTGCTGGCAGCAGAGCCGGCCGTCGTCGGTGAAGCGCCAGCTCTGCGTGAGTCGGCGGCGCCGGTCCAGCCGCCGCAGCCGCAGCGGCACACGCTCGTACGGCTGGATGGCCGGCGTCGCGATGTCCAGCACCTGGCGACGGTCGCGGCACGGCGGTCAGGGAGGCCGACCGGCTGTCAGCGACGGTCGTCGCACGGTGGTCAGGGAGGCCGACCGGCTATCAGTGACGGTCGGCACGGCGGTCAGGGAGGCCGACCGGCCGTCACCGACGGTCGGCACGGTGGTCAGGGAGGCCGACCGGCCGTCACCGATGGGCGGCACGGCGGTCAGGGAGGCCAACCGGCTGTCACCGACGGTCGGGATGGTGGTCAGGGAGGCCGACCGGCCGTCACCGACGGTCAGAACGGCGGTCAGGGAGGCCGACCGGCTGTCAGAGACGGTCAGAACGGCGGTCAGGGAGGCCGACCGGCTGTCATCGACGGTCAGAACGGCGGTCAGGGAGGCCGACCGGCTGTCATCGACGGTCAGAACGGCGGTCAGGGGGGCCGAACTGCTGTCGCAGACGGTCTGGACGGTGGTAAGGGAGGCCGAATGGCTGTTACCGACGGTCAGGACGTGCCCGTCGGCTCCGTCAAGCTGATGCTATGATGACTGGAACACCTTCATGAAAACGTGCAGCCGACAAGTAGCCCTCGCCTATTGTGATGCATCAAATGACAAAATCAAATCACAATGTAAACGGTCGGCAATTATATTGTGTGATTATACAGCTGCATGCCGTCGGCGCTAGTACTGTCTAAGGAGCACATTCACTCCCCAGCCAGCTCTGTAGGGAGTTAGGAGCGACTGCTTGTTTAAAGGTACTGCCTGAATCAGCTTGCCACTGCGTTGTTATGCTACATCAGCTGTCAGTGAGGGCGTACAGACCAGCCATCCGGCTGCCGGTGGCCGGGTCGGCTTGGCCTCCAGCTTGGCCCTCCGCGGCGCGGCACACTCACCATCAGCCGGTCGGTGTCGAGGTCGGGGTGACGCGGGTCGCGCGGCGGGCTGCTGCCCTCGTGCACCACGTGTCCTGACGACAGGTGGCGCCACAGCTGCGACCGCACGCCCGGCTCCTGCCAGCGCCCGCCGGCCGCGTCAGATTCCGCACCGCACGCGACACCCGCCTCAGACGGAACCCCGCACGCGACACTCGCCTCAGACGGAACCACCGCACGCGACACTCGCTACAGACGGAACCCCGCACGCGACACTCGCTACAGACGGAACCACCGCACGCGACACTCGCTACAGACGGAACCCCGCACGCGACACTCGCTACAGACGGAACCACCGCACGCAACGCTCGCTACAGACGGAACCCCGCACGCGACACTCGCTACAGACGGGACCACCGCACGCGACACTCGCTACAGACGGAACCACCGCACGCGACACTCGCTACAGACGGAACCACCGCACGCGGCACCCGCCTCAGACGGAACCACCGCACGCGACACTCGCTACAGACGGAACCACCGCACGCGGCACCCGCCTCAGACAGGAACCACCGCACGCGACATTCGCCTCAGACGGAACCACCGCATGCGTCTGCCCAGCTATCCAGCCATCACACCGGCAGCCCATGGACCGGCACATTCCTCTGGCCGGGGACGGCACACAGCACCACGGCTGGTCAGCTCCTCCCCCCCCCCCCCTCCTCCCGCGTTCTCTGGCCGAGGACAGCACACAGCACCACGAATGACCAGCTCCCCCCGATCTCCGGCCGGGGACAGCAGACAGTACCACGGCTGGCCAGCTCCCGCTACATCACCGGCAGCAGCAGCCACCGGACCGGCACCTTGCGCTTGAGGACCACGTTGCCGTCCACCACGTCCAGCACGAGCTGGCGGCACTCGACGTTCTGCGGGTCGAACGCCGCTCCAGACGGGCTGCAACACACGGACCGAAGGCGGGGCGTCACGATCGGCAGGTCCGGTCAGACCGGTGGCGGACGGCTGGGCGGACGGCTGGGGCGGACGGCTGGGCGGACGGCTGGGGCGGACGGCTGGGGCGGACGGCTGGGGCGGACGGCTGGGGTGGACGGCAGGCACGGTTAGGCCGGGCGCGGACGGCTGAGGTGGACAACTGGGCCGGTCAGGCCGGGGGCGGACGGCTGAGGTAGCCGGCAGGTCAGGCCAGGTCGGGGGCAAACCGCTGGGGTGGACGGCTGGGCTGGTCAGGCTTGAGTGGATGGCTGGGCCGATCAGACCGGCTGCATGACTGATGCTGTGCCCGAAGCAGAAAAAGTCCACAACCAGAGATACCACAGCTATGACCGCCAACACTACAGCCGCCACTGCTACCAACACTACCGCTACTGATAATATTGCGGTCATCACAATACGCTAATAATGGCGCGGCACCTACTGACCCCCCGAAGGTGCCGGCGAAAGCGATGAACATGAAGTTGTCGTAGCGCAGCGGCTTCCGCTGGTTCAGCTGGTTCATGTCGAACGCGTCGGCCTGTCCGCCGGGTGCCACCACCGTCAGCTGCAGCGACTTGGCCAGCGGCTGGTCCCAGGCGTACGGCACGGAGCTGCGCGGCCGCACCGTACTCCGCAGGTGGTGGTCCTGAGTACCGCTCTGTGGACACAGGCCGAACTGGTACAGAGCTGTGTGAGTGGCCAGAGCACCGCTCTGTGGACACCCCACCCACACGGACTGGTACAGAGCTGTGTGAGCGGTCAGAGTACCGCTCTGTGGACACCCCACCCACACGGACTGGTACAGAGCTGTGTGAGCGGTCAGAGTACCGCTCTGTGGACACACACACACACGGACTGGTACAGAGCTGTGTGAGCGGTCAGAGTACCGCTCTGTGGACACACACACACACGGACTGGTACAGAGCTGTGTGAGTGGTCAGAGTACCGCTCTGTGGACACACACACACACGGACTGGTACGGAGCTGTGTGAGTGGCCAGAGTACCGCTCTGTGGACACCCCACCCACACGGACTGGTACAGAGCTGTGTGAGCGGTCAGAGTACCGCTCTGTGGACACACACACACGGACTGGTACAGAGCTGCTGTGTGAGTGGGCAGAGTACCGCTCTGTGGACACAAACCCACACGGACAAGTACGGAGCTGTGTGAGCGGTCAGAGTACCGCTCTGTGGACATACACCCACACGGACAAGTACGGAGCATGTGTGAGTGGTCAGAGTACCGCTCCGTGGACACCCACCCACACGGACTAGTGCGGAGCTGTGTGAGTGACCAGAGTACCGCTCCGTGGACACGCAGCTCTCCAGTGTATTGTGCACCCCGTGCACTGTACACTACACAGCGGCAACACTCCGTGTACGCAGACCGACACGTGGGGATCCCAGATCAGAGGCTGCCACGCAGGCGGTGCTCAATGGCACCAGGCCTGTGAACCCGGGCCGGCACCCGCTCTCTCCATGGCTCGGCCCGTGACCGTGACAGGTCGACCGCGGACACGCAAGTACACTACAACATCGTGAGCACATGGCATGGTGGTCATGGCGAAGTGCGGAACCCTCGACCCCATCCCAAACTACACTGTCGGGAGGCATTTTCGCGCCAGAAATGACCCGCGACTTCTAGCGGCAGCAGTGCGCCTGATCACCAGCCACAGGCGGCGGACGACCGCCTGACAGATGCAGACGCAGACGCAGCCGAAGCCACAGTCGCAGCCGCAGCCGCAGTCGCAGCCGCAGCCATAGTCGCAGCCACAGCCGCAGCCACAGCCATAGCCGCAGCCGTAGCCGCAGCCACTCACCTGGTAGAAGGTGACGTTGACCTCGGAGAAGTTGTCTACGCGGAACGGCGGCGGCATGGCGTCGGCGTCCATGAACACAACGTAAAAGGTGGCCACCTGCAGCACCACCTCCAGCCGCAAGAAGCGGCTCTGGCTGTCCTTGTCCCTGCAGACCGGACAAAGGCCCGAGCTCAGGGTCACGGTCAGGTCACATCGCGGCTCCAGTCATGTCGGAAGGTGAGGACCAATGTCAGGTCATGCCGCGGCTCCGGTCGTGTCGAAAGGTAAGGGTCAGGATCAGGTCACACCGCGCTTCCGGTCATGTCGAAAGGTAAGGGTCGGGATCAAGTCACACCGGAGCTCCGGTCATGTCGAAAGGTCAGGGTAAGGGTCAGGTCACACCGCGGCTCCGGTCATGTTGAAAGGTAAGGGTCGGGGTCAGGTCACACCGCGGCTCCGGTCATGTCGAAAGGCCAGGGTAAGGGTCAGGTCACATGGCGGCTCCGGTTCACAATGCACTGAGCAGGTCTCGCCTCAGACCAGCTCCGGCCGGCGAGATCGCAAACGACACGGACGGCGGCCACCGGGCGCAGAGGCAAGCACAGATGGAGAGCAACAGCGCGTCAGGTCGACAGCCTCCCGCAGAGAGCGGCCAGACCGACAAAACCGGCGGCGCCTGACTAGCGGCACGGGTCGACGCGACGACAGTGGCCCTAAACGCCGACCCCACGGTGGCCGGCCGCTGCGTCACGGAGCAGCGCCACTGGTCTGGTCGTGACTGGCCACCTGTCTGCTGACCTGACGCGGCTGAGACACCTGTCCGCTGACCTGACGCGGCTGAGACACCTGCCCGCTGACCTGACGCGGCTGAGACACCTGTCCGCTGACCTGACGCGGCTGAGACACCTGTCCGTTGACCTGACGCGGCTGAGACACCTGCCCGCTGACCTGACGCGGCTGAGACACCTGTCCGCTGACCTGACGCGGCTGAGACACCTGTCCGTTGACCTGACGCGGCTGAGACACCTGCCTGCTGACCTGACACGGCCCCGACATCTGTCCGCTGATCTGACACGACTGAGACACTTGTGCGCTGACCTGACGCGGCTGAGACACCTGTGTGCTGACCTGACGCGGCTGGGACACCTGTGCGTTGACCTGCCGCGGCTGAGACACCTGTCCGCTGACCTGACACGGCTGAGACACCTGTGCGCTGACCTGACACGGCTGAGACACCTGCCTGCTGACCTGACACGGCCCCGACATCTGTCCGCTGACCTGACGCGGTTGAGACACCTGTCCGCTGACCTGACACGGCTGAGACACCTGTGCGCTGACCTGACGCGGCTGAGACACCTGTCCGCTGACCTAATACGACCCAGACACCTGTCCGCTGACCTGATGTTGACGTGGCAGCTGTCGGTGCGGTCGATGAGGAAGCCCCCCGACCAGTGGCAGTCGGGCACGTCCGCCAGCTTGACGCACAGCAGGTGGTCGCAGTCGTGGCGCGGCCAGTGGAACGCCATCTGGCTGCGCGGCATCGCCCGCAGCCACGTGCGCTCGGCGCTGCGGTCCATCTGGCAACGCGGCGATGGCGGTCAGACGACCTCGGCACGGGGAGCTCTAGCGGAGAGGCGAGGGTGAGCGGCGCGCCGCGACCACGGTACAGCGTCGCGCCGAAACCACGGGTCAGCGACGCGCCGGAACCCCGGGTCAGCGACGCGCCGGAACCCCGGGTCAGCGACGCGCCGAAACCACGGGTCAGCGACGCGCCGGAACCCCGGGTCAGCGACGCGCCGGAACCCCGGGTCAGCGACGCGCCGGAACCCCCGGGTCAGCGACGCGCCGGAACCCCGGGTCAGCGACGCGCCGGAACCCCGGGTCAGCGACGCGCCGGAACCACGGGTCAGACGCGCCGGAACCACGGGTCAGCGACGCGCCGGAACCACGGGTCAGCGACGCGCCGGAACCACGGGTCAGCGACGCACCGCGACCACGGGTCAGCGACGCGCCGGAACCACGGGTCAGCGACGCACCGGAACCACGTGTCAGCAACGCACCGGAACCACGGGTCAGCGACGCACCAGATCCGCGGGTCAGCGACGCACCGGAACCCCGGGTCAGCAACGCACCGGAACCACGGGTCAGCGACGCGCCGGAACCACGGGTCAGCGACGCACCGCACGCAGCATGTCATCACACGGCGCTCGAATCACTTCAGGACAGACATTCTCTGGCCAGAACGGCACCAAGGGCTCAGATGGAGACACGGCGCACGTCCCAGCAAGGAGCAAGACCCATCGGACGGCGAGCCACACTCACGAACGAGTCGGCGAAGTGCAGCTGCGAGAAGAGCAGCTGGTGGGTGGAGCGGTTGTCGATCTGGAAGCGCGGCGAGATGGTGATGATGTTCGTGTCGCTGTAGCGGCCCCGGCCCGGCCGAATCTCGATACCTGCACGACGGCGGGCACGACAGCTGCGGTCAGAGGGGTACGGCTAGCCCCGTCCGTCACCCGGCAGCCACGGTGAGAGGGGTACGGCCAGCCCCGCGGGTCACCCGGCAGCCACGGTGAGAGGGGTACGGCCAGCCCCGCGGGTCACCCGGCAGCCGCGGTGAGAGGGGTACGGCTAACCGGCAACACACCGCTGCTAAGGCAACTGGGCAAGGAAACTGATGAACCCTGAATCCGCAGCGACGCATACGCATCCCCGATATGAAACATATATGGATGTAATGAAGTGCGCCCTGCCCACTGGCCTCGGCGCAAGTCCTGCTCTCACCGCGCGGTCACCTACCGACCACGTAGACCCAGTCGGGGCGGCGGCTGTCGCGCTGCGCCACACGCAGGCGGCGCACGTGCAGATCCGGCTGCAGGTGGAAGTGGTGACACCACTGTCGGCCGGCAGCGGAGCACACGTCAGCGCCGACCGAGCCGCGCTCGAGCGGAGGGAAGGGCGGGCGGGGCAGCGGGGCACACATCAGCGCCGACCGAGCCGCGCTCGAGCGGCGGGCAGGGCGGGCGGGGCAGCGGAGCACACGTCAGCGCCGATCGAGCCGCGCTCGAGCGGCGGGCAGGGCGGGCGGGGCAGCGGAGCACACGTCAGCGCCGACCGAGCCGCGCTCGAGCGCGGCAGGGCGGGGCAGCGGAGCACACGTCAGCGCCGATCGAGCCGCGCTCGAGCGGCGGGCAGGGCGGGCGGGGCAGCGGAGTACACGTCAGCGCCGACCGAGCCGCGCTCGAGCGGCGGGCAGGGCGGGCGGGCACCACACGCCCAGACTCAGCACACCAGGCGACCGGTGAGACAAACGCGGCGTCGCGATAGGAACGGAAGTGCGGACCGATACTGACTAGACCTGACGCTACCGGCTGTGCACACAGAGAGCAACATCAATACTGTAGTGGTAAAACTGTGCGTCTGGGAAACCAGGCGCACGGGGGTTCGACGCCCTACGGTGCCCGCCTTCCTACCAGGGCATCGGGCATGCGACGCCACATAGCCTCTAACAGCTGAGCGCGTTGTAAAGCTCCAATGACAGCGCACGGCAACGGTGAGCTATCGTCAGCGTGCAGCAGCAGTGGCGTCTGGCTCAAAACCGCCATCTCTATAGCCACGCTTCCTGGGCACCACCTGAGCCCGTGTGGGTCGTCACGCTTCGCAGCTCCAGCTCATCAGAGAGCACGGTGGAGCGCGAGGCTGTGTGTGAGGCGGTCTGGGCTCACTCACCCGGGGCACGCCGTCCACGTGCTGGCCGCGGCCCAGGCGCGCCACCATCATGGCCGGCGCCTCGGGGTCGCTGAGCGAGAAGAGCAGCGGCGAGACGGAGCGGGCGCGCTCGTGGTCGGCCTCCTGGCCGGCCGCCTCCGCCTGCTCGCCGGTCTCCTGCGCCACCACCAGCGGTAGCCCAGTGCGGTTTACCACCCAAAACGGCGCCGACACGCACAGTCGGAGCCAGCCGGCGGCGCCGTGGCCGCAGCCGGGCGCGCAGCAGCAGCAGGCGGCCGCGCGCGTCGCGCAGCGCCAGCTGCAGCCGCTGCAGGCCGGCCGCGCGCGCCGCCGTCACGTCCAGCGGCCGGTCCGGTCGGCAGCCCTCCACACTCAGGGTCAGCAGCAGGTCCTGCTCCAGGTCCACCTGATGGGACGGTGCACCCGGTCAGCAGCAGGCCACACTCAGGGTCAGCAGCAGGTCCTGCTCCAGGTCCACCTGATGGGACGGTGCACCCGGTCAGCAGCAGGCCACACTCAGGGTCAGCAGCAGGTCCTGCTCCAGGTCCACCCGATGGAACGGTGCACCCGGTCAGCAGCAGCCCGCACTCAGAGTCAGCAGCCCCACACTCGGGATCAACAGCAGGTCCTGGACATGAAGCCAAAACCAGACTCAAGGTCTGAAACCAGCTTATGTCGCCAGCGAGATCAGGGAGTACCCACCCTGACCGACGTCTGCATGTAGAGCTCTCAGTGGACCAGACTGTTATAAGTTTTTGCAGCACACGTAACGACAGATGTGTTTTTGAGGTAAGCATTCTGTCGGGTAGCACTCATGTCGAATATGTACAAGTGTTTGCGGAAGAAGTAATGTGGCGTGTAAGTTGAAGCCGTGGCTGTTTTTGCAGTAGAAGTAATGTCGCATTCAACTAATGTCATAGCACTGCTAGTCGGCGGGAGCTTCTGCCGCAGCGCTAATGCTATAACATTAGATTCCGGGAGGGAATGATTGCATGATTTCGGGAAGCTTCCGCATCAGGGAGGAAGACGTGACCGCCGCCAGTTCAGCACGTGGAAGAACGCTTCCCAGCTAGTCCAGACAACGCCAGACGTGCGCTCAGCTCACGTGGACGAGGGCAGGCCTGCCGGCCGGGCTCGATGCGGTGCGTGCCGTCGGTGCCGGTGCAGGAGAAGCGCAGCTCGCAGGGCAGCAGATTGACCACGGTGACGGGCGGCAGCAGGCTGACCGTGTGGCCCGGCTGGATCCCGGGCATGGCGCGGCCTGTCAACCGGCCACGCCGACTGGTCAGCGTCGGCAGGCAGGGGCTCACACACACACACAAAGAGCCCACGGCCTTCACGTGCCGCGCCCACCGGTCAGCGTCGGCAGGCAGGGCTCACTCACCCACACCGCCCACGGCCTTCACGTGCCACGCCCACCGGTCAGCGTCGGCAGGCGGGGCTCAGCCACCCACACCGCCCACGGGCTTCACGTGCCACGCCGACCGGTCAGCGTCGGCAGGCAGGGCTCACCCCCACACACGGCCCACGGCCTTCACGTGCTGCGCCCACCGGTCAGCGTCGGTAGGCAGGGCTCACCACCCACACGGCCCACGGCCTTCACGTGCTGCGCCCACCGGTCAGCGTCGGCAGGCAGGGCTCACCCACCCACGGCCTTCACGTGCCACGCCGACCGGTCAGCGTCGGCGGGCAGGGCTCACACACACACACAGAGCCCACGGCCTTCACGTGCCGCGCCCACCGGTCAGCGTCGGCAGGCAGGGCTCACCTACACACCGCCCACGGCCTTCACGTGCCGCGCCCACCGGTCAGCGTCGGCAGGCAGGGCTCACCCACACACACGGCCCACGGCTTTCACGTGCCACGCCCACCGGTCAGCGTCGGCAGGCAGGGCTCACCTACACACACCTCCCTCGGCCTTCACGTGCCAGCGGCGCCAGAACCGAGGCCTCACAGCTGTTCTAAATCAAGCAGGTGGTGATAACGTTCCATCGTTTACGGGTCAAGGTGAAAGTTGGAAAGCATGAAATCAGGCTATACTTTAGACCATCGAGTACTTTGTACACAATGGATAACCACATAACTGCAGACCATTGGTATAAACTACCGCCACCGCAGTTTTTTTTCGCCTGTGGTGGTTCGTTTGATTACTGTTTCATTTCACTCGATACCAGCTACCTCCGCCATCCACCAACCTAACCATGAAAACTGACTAGCTAAGCAAACAAACTACGTCTGAGTGAAGAAATCTGCGCCTGCACAGCTTGGACATAGTAATGCCGGACGTTCACACCATGTCGTGCCGACACGACTGTGACGTGTCAGGGCACGGTCCCTGCTGACCGCCATACACTGCAGCCCTGCCGGCAGCGGCCGCCGGTGGGAGGGCCGCGGTCTCACCCGGAACGGGCTGTCTGGGGCAGGGCACCGCCTCCTCCGACGGGTAGTTGTCCGGGTCGACGCTGACGCAGAACCTGCACGGTGCGCAGCCGTCAGTAACGGCTCGCGAGTCAGTCACCTGGGCGGCGCGCCGCAGCGGAAGCACAGGATTCGCCGGGATCAGCAGAAGGGAGGACTAACGTAAAAGCAGAGGCACAAATCAAATCGCTGAAGGGCCAGGGCCAGATGCTGACAGAACGTCATTAACTACGCTTGAGATAAAAGGAGCAAAGTGTAGTGCAAGAAAGAAAGAAAAATATGGACATGACCTTTCCAATGACGATGAAATTAAAGTAATCAAACTGAGAAGGCCAATTAGAACTAAAATCGGGAGAGTGATTCCCATCTACATAGTGAACTGTCGACAAAAAATAAGAGGAGCCGGTTCAGGATGTCACAGGCAGAGTTCACTGCCCTGACAAAAAACATAAGCGCCCATGCCTCGCGGGCCGACACGGCGCCGAACAAACACTGAGCCGAGCGAGCGGTGACCTGTAGACGTGCGAGGCCAGCTGCCAGCTGCGGCAGCGGCGGCGTCCCGCCTCGTCCGGCCGCCACCAGCGCCACGGCTCGGCGCACAGCGACCAGCCGTCGGGCCGAGCCACGGGTCGGGCCGTCTGGGCGGCGTGCACCAGCGCCAGCGGCACGGGTCGGCGCGCGCCCGCCGCCACCTGCAGCGCCGGCTCTGCAACAGACGGCGCTGGCCTCGTCACAGGCGGCGGCGCGCTCGGCCGCCGGGCGCCGGCGGCGCGGCCCACCTGTAGTCGCGCTGGCCGGCCAGACTGCAGGCGGTGGCGGCGTGGCCTGGCCGGCGCAGGTCGTCCGGCCGCAGTGGCCGGCCGGCGGGGCCGAACAGGAGCCGGCCCGGCGGCGGCAGCGGCCGCCACCACAGCAGCGAGCGCAGGCACGACAGCGGCACCGGCAGCCGGCCGCCCGCCTCCAGGCGCCGGCTCCTCGCGGCAGCTTGTAACAACGGCAGCTCACAGCACCCGCTCGCCAGACAGCACGCGTCGGCCGGTGTCGGCTCGACGGTAACGGCGGTGCAAAGGAGCGGCAGCGTCTCAACGCTCAGCCGTATGGCCTTTGTGAAGCGACTCAAACTCACAAGACGAGCGCACAAACAGCTGTCCAGGACAGAGAAGACGGCTAAAGCAGCAGCCTACGCAGCCCAGCGCTGCACCGTTCCCCGCCGCCCCGCCCGCCGGTGCCCCCCCCCCCCCCCCCGAGGACATGTCTCTGCCCGCGCGCGCCGAGCCTACCTCCGAGCCGCTGGGACGAGCTCTCCATCTTGACCTCGACCGGGTCGGGCAGCCGGTTGCTGATCAGCAGCGCCGAGCGAACGGTGACCAGCTTGCGGGCGGCGCCGAGCAGCGTGACGGCGAACACCACGCGCGCCGGCGCCTGCTCCACCTGCGCCGCCGGCCAACGTCAGTGGCGGCACGCGCCGCTGGCAGCGATGTGGTGCACACACCACGGGAATACCAAGGAGTGCATCTAACGCAATGTTAAATATATGTGTAGACGCAACGACGTGAAGAGCTCCAAAGCGCTGCCTAAACTCCGACAGCCTACAGGTGCAGCCACCTCACATGAGAGATTATGTTCTCGGCGGAACGAAACGGCGAAACATTAGCTCTACATTAACAGCACACATAACGCCATCGCTCGTTTTGCTAAAGCACTGCTGGCGGACGGCGTGCCGACGTCTGGTGAGGCTCGGAATAAAGCCGGGTGGTGCGGGAGCGGCCCTTCTGACCCCGGTGGGATGGCGGCCCGGCACGGGACTGGTGAGTCGGAAGTACACGCCGACGCGGTCGACGGAGACGGGCGCCGTGGGCTGCCAGCCCTCGACCCACACCAGCAGCTGGTGCTGGCGGGTGGTGTGCGTGTCCTGATGACGCAGCTTCCCTGCGGCAGGCGGGGAAGCTGCGTCAGAAGCTGCGGAAGCTTCCCTACGCGCAACTAGCCGACGCTCGGGGGAAGCCGCCTACAACAACGATATCAACTATGGTAACGAGCCCCTGTGCCCCCCCCCCCCCCCCCCACACACACACATTCTAGCACACACACCGGAATAACGTCTTTCATTTGCCATTTGGTCCCGTCATTTACTTCTATATTTAGTTGACCAATCCACAGCACTAAACCAAACAATGCTCGGCAGAATTAAAACAAAGCCTGCTTCAGTATCCTCACTAACCAAGCACGCCCAACAAGCATCGATTTAGCCGATAAGAATGGTCCGCAGTGGTAGCCAGAACTCTGATGCACGTAAAACGCGCAGGAGGGGGCGGGCGACCCACCTCTGCCGCCGAAGGTGAAGGGTAGAGTCTGGTCCACCTCGACGTCGGTCCAGCCGCCCTGGCCGCCGCCGGCCGGTGTGGCCGCGTCGGCGCCGCTGTCGCCAGGCACACCGGGCATCAGAGCATGACTGGGTGGCGGGGCGGGACGGCAGGACCGCTCGGGTGATCCACACAGCGCCGACGACACGAGCCACGCGGCACCACACACCAGTCGCGCGCCGCTCTTGTCGTCACCCGCGCCGCCTGTGAGCCACCAGTCTGAGGCCACATGTGAGCTTGCTCACCACTGATAGACCCTGCACCACCCGGCTTGAGTGTGGCGCCCGGAAGGTGCCGGATTGGCAGGTGCCACTGTGCTTCAACAAACTTACCTTTAATGGCCGATGACGATCGCCTGCGGCGATGACGGCACAGACTCTGGCACTAACCGAGCGGACTGTGCAGCGGGCCCAGCCATCCGGTGACCCCAACAGCTCAGCGACCCATCCCACTCACCCGCTGAAGGAGGTCAGCACGGTGCGGAACCGGAGCCGCGAGCCCGTGTCGTTCTTCAGGCTGAACGGCACGAAGGGGCTACGCCGCCGGCTGGCCACGCGCGGTCCTCCCACCCTGAGGACGGCCGACGCCCCGGTCAGAGCCGGATGGCCCGCACGGCCGTCCGGCGCCAGCTCCCTGCCAGGCCCAGACAGGGACAGAGCTCGGCCGGCGCTGGCGGCCGGCGCCAGCTCCCTGCCAGGCCCACACAGGGGCAGAGCTCGGCCCGCACGGGCGGCGCGGCCGACAGGGTCAGCACAACGGAAGCACACCGTGCGCAATGCGCACTGCACAACCTCGAGAATACAGGTGGCTTGCTGAACGGTTTAATTTGTATCAGGTCATTGCCATGCTGATGCGCACGAACAAACTGGAGGAAAAAACTTAGTGAATCCATTTAAAGCTATTGCAGTCAACACATGCTTTCTTCGCTTAAAAGAATAGCTCTGTGTAGTTGAGTTTCGAGATCCTTAACCATCAATATATCCCCAGCTTCCTAGACATATTCCAACAACCAAAACCAGCATACCCCTCTTCAGGCAGGTACCATCTCAGGCAGGCCGCAATGCTGGTCACGACCTAGCCACGACAACAGACACTGACACAAGGCGTCACAGACGGCGCACCGCCACCGCCGACCGGCCCACGCTCGGCGCCCGCGCCGCCGGCAGCGCTGACTGACCTGTGCCGGTTGTAGTAGTCCTCGGTCCAGTTGGCGCGCACCATCGAGTACAGCTCGAGCAGGGTGGAGGTGAGGTTGAGGTTGGCCTGCTGCCGGGAGCGGACCACGGCGGTGCGCCGGCCGCCGGGCGCGCCGCTCTGCACCAGCGCGCTGTGCCGCCAGTCCAGCTCACACCTGGCGCCGGCCGCATCACAGCGTCACCGCTCACCGCTACACCCGCCGCCGCCGCCCACAGGCGCCGCCTCTGCACACAGGCGGCCGCCGGGGCGACGCACAGCGCGCGGACGTGTCAACGGCTCGCGGCCGCCGATACGCCACACCAGCACCACGGCTGGGCGCTCGTAAGAGCTGACGGACATATGGCTGCTTGGCAAGCTTCACCGCCAATCACATGAGGCTAAGACGTGCTTGGCGCGATGCCTGGCTGGCGTCAGCAGGCGTCTCAGCACGAACGTGTCCACATGCAACACACGTCACATTGATAGGCATTAATGGGCCTGATTACAGCACAGATGTCTCACTTGAAGGGCTCCAGGAATGGCTCCCATCCGGAGAGAGCTCGGTTGTAGTAATCTCCCGACAGCTCGCACGCCGCCTCGCCAGAGCCATCTCTCGAGTGCGACACGGACAAGTGGTTCATGCACAGCTCCGCCAGAGGCACGTCGGCGTCCCCGCAGTCGTCGATGATGCAGATTGAGAAGGACGATGTGTGAAGCTGAAAACGCGAAAACACAGACGTGGGTCAATGCGTCCGGGTGCTCTGAAATACAGGGAAAGGCACAGGGAAAGGGATTTTCCCCGATATGGTGGGCGCGACAAAGGCGTTGACTATAAAATCGGCACAACGGCTAGTGGACCCCTGAGCTGCACATCATCCGCTACGTGTCATGTGGCACGCGCCCCGGCCACTCCTGCAACCCTGCACGGCGCGTCGGAAGGGACTGCAGTGGCGCCACCTTCCGGCGGCGAGCCGACCTCGGCTCTCGGCAGAACACCCCACCGCCGTCCACGGCACGGCGCCGCGACCGCAGAGCACAGCCCCGGGCTGGGCCGAGCCCTCCGGCTGTCGGGGCGGGATCAGCCGACAGGGTCGGGCCCGGCCGGCTGTCGGGGCGGGATCAGCCGGCAGGGGGCGGTGAGAACGAACCTTGACGCCGCGCAGGTCGAACAGCGGCTGACTGGGCGCCGGCGGGTCCGTCCCAGGCGCTTCGGTGCTAGGAGACGCGTGCTGGAGAACGGCCGGCACGACAGTCATGGGTCACACGATCGCCGAAGTCCGTGTACATACAGACGTGCTATGCACGTGGGTGCATGGAGAGCATCATACGAGCGTCTGACGTGTCTGACGTCTGACTGGTAAATGCCCAGTTCACCTGACAGTCACCTGACAGTCCGATGAAACCCACCATAGTTTTGAACAACAAACCACTGTCATATTACCAATGCTATCAAACAACATGAGGTATCGCCAAACTTAAGGACAAAATACGCACAAACATCAAACTCTGCGAGGCACGCGCAAAATAGTAATTATATATATATATATATATATATATATATATATATATATATATATATATATATATAATCAACTGATGATTCGGTTACGCGAGCGTGACCCTAATGAGCCGCGCGGCGGCCTAGTATCGGCTGAATGAGCCGGAAGGTGTAACGCGGTCTCACCTGGGTGAGCCAGATGGCGGCCTCGTCCAGCCGCCCCTGGCTGGCGACCAGCGCCCGGCCGCAGTCGGCCTCCGAGAAGCCCAGCTGGCGCAGCTGCAGCAGCGGTGCTGCCGAGTGGCGGCGGCCGTCAGCAGGCGCCCACCGACGGCCGCACACAGACACGGCCGACAGACTGACGAGCGCGCACAGACACGGCCGACGGCCGCACACAGACACGGCCGACGGCCGCACAGACACGGCCGACAGACCCACGGCCGCACACAGACGCGGCCGACAGACTCACGGCCGCACGCAGACACGGCCGACGACCGCACAGACACGGCCGATAGACCGACGGGCGCAAACAGACACGGCCGACAGGCCGACGGCAACCGTGGCCGGCTACAGTCGGCAGAGATCGCCAGTCAACATCAGTGGCTGTCAGCGCCCGTAAAGCACCATGTGTTGGCTGTCGGCTATCAGCGCCACTTGTAAGGGAACACATCCTTCTTGTTGGGAAGGCTATTCCTCATGTAAGGGAGCGCACTATGCGTGTTGGGGAGCGCACCGCACGTGTTGGGCAGCGTATCAAACGTGTCGGCGAGCTTACCACGCGTGTTGGGGAGCGTACCACACGTGATGGAGGGCGCATCACTGGTGTTGGGGAGTATACCACAGGTGTTGGGGTGCATACCGCACTTGTTGGGGAGCGTACCACGCGTGTTGGGGAGCGCCCCACGCGTGTTGGGGAGCGTGCCACACGTCTTGAGACGCATACCCTGCATGTTGACTGGCTGCGGCGAGCGGTGGCCTTCGAGACCGGCCGTCTGCCGCGGCAGACTCTCCAGGATGGCGGCGAACATCTTCATGTCGTGATAGCTGACCCGCACGTTCAGCTGCTGTACCAGCACCTGGCGAGCCGCACACTGACGTCAGCACGACACAGGGAGCACGGCCCAGTCAGCAGCGGTGCGAAGGTCTGCCACAGGCAGCTGCGTGACCAGCTGTAGGACCGGCCAGGCCGCCAGCTCCCACGCCTGGTTAGCAGACGTACCTCGGAGCGCTGAAGTTAACTGAGCTCTCTAGTGGACTCAAGAGACAGGAGCTCAAGAGCACCGGTACCCAAACAGTCCTCGTGTGTGGGCGCGCATCCTCTCCACACAGAGCCGCTCTCGCGCGCGCCCAGCCCTGCCCGGCTACCCCCGCCAGCCTGGGCGCGGCCCCGCCGCGGCCCGGAGCGGCGCGCGCCCCACCTCCATGTGGCAGTGCAGCTCGGTGTCCGTGGCGTCCAGGATGCCCCTGGCGGCGTCGGCCGGCAGCTTTCCCGACACCTCGACGTTCACGGTGGCCGGGTCGACGATGGAGAGCGCCGTCTCCTGCTCGGCGCCGCCCAGCAGGCAGCTGAAGAGCTCGCAGTTCTGCAGCTCGCAGCTCAGCGGCTTCTCGCGGCTCTGCGGCCGGTACTGCACGCACGCCGTCGCCTGCCCGCCGGGGGGCGCGCGCGTCATGACGCCGTCACCGCCGACGGCACCTCGGGCCCGGCTGGCGGCCGGCCGGGCACGCAGCCACGCGACCAACCATCGTCATGACGCCATCACGGCCAACGGCACCTCGGGCCCGGCTGGCGGCAGGCCGGGCACGCAGCTACGCGACCAACCATCTGGGCGTCATACTCTGAAACCCTTGCACATTATACCAGCACAGACGACGGCCCGATTGGCATGGGAGGCCATGTTGTGCAGACCCATGCTCGTCACGAGCCCGCCGACGCCGAGCGCCAGTGCAGCTCACACCCGAACACGCCGGAGGCGGTGCACACCAGCCTCCCCCGGCGGCCACCGGCAGGGATCCGAGGGGCGGCAGCCGGCCGCGAGCGGTCAGCGGCCGGGCCGCCGGCTCGCTTGCCTTGAGAATGACGGCCGCTGAGTCGGAGAGTGTGGGGTTCTCGACCAGCACCAGCTCGCAGTCGGAGACGTTGAGCTTGAGCTCGAGGCTCTGCTGCGGCTGACCGAGCACGGCCGCTCGCCGCGTCACCACACCTGCCGGTCACGGCGGCTCCAGCTGACGGGCCGACGCCACTCTCGCACCGCCGCCGGCCGACCGGCCGGCGCCCGCTCAGTCGCCACTACAATGAGTCATTTGCTCCAGAAGGACAAACACAGGCGTAAGTCAAAGACATGCTTTAAGCAGCGTGAAATCATGTTGATATGAATGAGGTGAAGCCATATGTTACGAAGCCGGCTGTACAAGAATCACGCAAGTTGGAAGACCCGTTGCTGTGAGCTGATAACGCCCTCCTGGCATCACAGCGCCGGTGGGCATCCCTCGTACCTGCGCTCACTGCCATGCCGGCGTTCGGGGCCGGGGCGGTGGGGGCGGCCTGCGCCGGGCCGAAGCCGCCCTCCGGACTGGCGCTGATGAACTCGTTTACCTCACGCCACCTGGCCGGGGCACAGGGCGGCCGTCAGTGGCACAGGGCGGCCGTCAGCGGCAAAGGACAACCATCAGCGGTACAGGGCGGCCGTCAGCGACAAAGGACGACCATCAGCGGTACAGGATGGCCGTCAGTGGCACAGGGCGACAGTCAATGGCACAGGGCTGCAGTCAGTGGCACAGGGCGGCCGTCAGCGGCACAGGGCAGTAGTCAATGGCACAGGGCGGCAGTCAGTGGCACAGGGCGGCCAGCAGCTTCACACGCTATCGGAGCAGGGTTCATCAGAGCAGACTGTACCTGCCCCTCCTCCCACCCCTCCGCCGTCCGCTCGCCCGTCAGCAAGCGACAACCAAAGTATGGCCCAACCTTCTCGCGGGTGGCAGCACGGAATGGCCCGGCCCAGCGCGGCCGCCGCCGGACAGGACAGTGCGGACGGCGCGCCGGCCACTCACCAGTCCAGCACACCCATCAGTCGCATGCTGTTGAGCAGCACGGTGAACTGGGCGTGCTCGGCCGAGGCGCGGTAGTGCAGCTCCGCCTGCAGGCTACGCTCCGTCTTGACAAACAGCGGCTGCAGGATCAGGCTGAACACGTTGGAGCGCTTGTTGGCCGGGAAGTCTGCGGATGAAGTCGGGCGTCGTCTAGGCTCCGTCCCATACGCGCATCATCACGGACATCGCAACGAAACAGTCACGATGTCCCAGGTACGGCGCTGGTCAACTCACGCCATGGCGCCGATTCAGAAAGTAGGCACGTCCATCACGATGGCCATTACCTCGCCGACGGCGATATCCGATGACGATTTGCGGGCGCATTTCTGGTGCGTCACACAACGTTAACAATCAACGCCATATCACAAGCCCCTGTACCAAGCGTCACTTCAGGCCGGCCTGGTGCGCACGCAGCGTCCGACCGCCGCTTGCCCGTCGAGCGGCGGGAGAGCGCACCTGTGAACCTGGCGTCGTACAGTCGAATCTCGCGCGACATCAGGTCCACGTCCTTGGAAGCGTCCGAAAAGCTCTCGTAGAGCAGCTGGGAGCGGATGAAGTCGACCCGGGCCAGAGGGGCGTCGCCTGACACCAGCTCCAGAGAGACGTTCTCCAGGTCCAGTCGCACCGACATGGTGAGCCAAACCGAGTCGGGTGCTGTCACCTGCCGACCACCAGGCGTGCGCCACGGTTACAGCCGGGATCTTGTCTGTCGCACTCTTAACGATATGCTCCATCTTACTACACAGCTGGGGTATCTAACGCTGGACAACAAAAACTAAAAGTGACGTTTATTTTCATCGTCTCAAGGCTTATTCCGTTAGCTCTGTGTGCTGAGAAGCCGCCGCCCGACCGGCGACTGCGCTGGTACTGAGCTGAGACTAAACTGGGACTGAGCTGAGCTGAGACTGAGACTGAGATGATACTGAGCTGGACTCGGAGTAAGCTGAGCTCAGCTGGGAATGAGACTAGGCTGAGCCAGGACTGAAACTGAGCTGAGCTGAAATGAGCTGAGACTGAGCTGGGAATTAGCTGGGAATGGGCTGAGCTGGCATTGAGCTAAGGCTGAGCTGGAACTGAGCTGATCTAAGCTAGGACTGAGCTGACTGAGCTGGGACTGGCATGAGCCGAGCTGGGACCGAGTTGGGAGTGGGCTGAGCTGAGCTGAGACTAAGCTGGGCTGAGACTAAGCTGAGCTGAGACTGAGCTGGGAATTAGCTGGGACTGAGTTGAGTTGGCATTGAGCAAGAGCTGAGCTGGAACTGAGCTGAACTAAGCTGGGACTGTGCTGATCTGAGCTGGGACTGAGCTGAGCTGAGCTGGGACTGTGCTGAGCTGAGCTGGAACTGAGCTGAACTAAGCTGGGACTGCGCTGAGCCGAGCTGGGACTGAGCTGAGCTGAGGCTTAGCCGAGATGAGCTGAGCTGAACTGAGCTGTGGTGGGACTGAGATGAGCTGGGACTGAACCGAGCTGAGCAACGATTGGGCTGAGCTGGGCTGGGATTGAGCTGGGAGTGAGCTGAACCGAGCTGGGACATCACCTGGACGTGATGCGGTTGAATGAGCGTGGCCGGCTCGAGCTCCACCGGCTCGCCCAGGTTGTGGTCGAGCAAGCCGCGGATCAGACGGTACTGGGGCAGGTCCACCGACAGGCTCAGCGTCGAAAGGCTGCCGCGCACGCTCATGTCCGGCACTGCAACACACGCTGCACTGAGGGCACTGCAGCACGCACGCACTGCAACACAGTCGCACCGCAGCAACTAAGAAATTGGCTGAACCGAGCGACTGCAACACAGCCTGCAATAGGATCATTGCAACAAATACTCCTCATGGACCACCCTCACATGATACTTGGGGCACTGTATCACTAGGCTGCAGGTCATATAGGCCAAACCGTGGGCACTGCCATGTGGGCCATATTGGCATCAATACAACAGAAGACCCACTACGCGTGAACGGGCACTGGACTGCCCAGTCTGGAAGACAGTGCTCCCATATTGCTCTGGCTGAGAAACAGACAAAACGCATGCATCGAGTCTCGTGATCACACCCACGGCTCTCAACACCCGGAGCCTGCTCTCATCGCCACAGCCGGCGCCCGCTCTCACCGTCACAGAAGGCGTCCGTTCTCACCACCACAGCCGGCGTCCGTTCTCACCGCCATAGCCGGCGCCCGCTCTCACCGTCACAGCCGGCGTCCGTTCTCACCGCCACAGCCGGCGCTTGCTCTCACCGTCACAGCCGGCGCCCGTTCTTATCGTCACAGCCGGCGTCCGTTCTCACCGTCACAGCCGGCGTCCGCTATCACCGTCACAGCCGGCGTCCACTATCACCGTCACATCCGGCGCCCGCTCTTACCGTCACATCAGGCGCCTGCTCTCATCGTCACAGCCGGCGCCTGCTCTCATTGTCACAGCCGGCGCCTGCTCTCACCGTCACAGCCGGCGTCCGTTCTCACCACCACAGCCGGCGCCTGCTCTCACCGTCACAGCCGGCGCCCGCTCTTACCGTCACAGCCGGCGTTCGTTCTCACCGTCACAGCCAGCGCCCGCTCTCACCGTCACAGCCGGCGTCCGTTTTCACCGTCACAGCCGGCGCCTGCTCTCACCGTCACAGCCGGGGCCCGCTCTTACCGTCACAGCCGGCGTCCGTTCTCACCGTCACAGCCAGCGCCCGCTCTCACCGTCACAGCCGGCGTCCGTTTTCACCGTCACAGCCGGCGCCTGCCCTCACCGTCACAGCCGGCGCCCGTTCTCACCGTCACAGCTGGCGCCCGCTCTTACCGTCACATCCGGCGCCCGCTCTCATCGTCACACCCGGCGCCTGCCCTCACCGTCACAGCCGGCGCCCGTTCTCACCGTCACACCCAGCGCCCGCTCTCACCGTCGTGGTTGAGGGCGGCGTCCAGGTTGCGCTCCACCAGCAGACTGAGGCCGGCCTTCTGTTTCAGCAGGCGGCCGCCGGACGCCGGCCGCACCAGGTACGAGCCTAGCTGGAGGTCGGTCGGCGCGCGCTGCTCGGCCGCCGCCGACAGCGCGTCCAGCCGGCCGGCCGAGTACACGTCCATGTCGGAGAGCGTCACCTGGCGGCCGTGGCGGGGCTGAGAGAGGCGGCCGTCGGGCGGCGCGGCGCAGACAGCACTGCCGCTAGGTGCGGCGCACCGGCGCACCAACTGTGCACCGGCCGCTGACACCGACTGTGAATGGGTCTTGAATCCACCGTCCGCTTGGCATGCCACGAGATGACTGACAGTTGAACCCAACCCGCCGCGTATCAGGTGCAGTCACGAGATGAGTGTGATAGCTCGGCTCTCTCGCTCAGCGCCTGACTCGCTGCTGCGCCACCTGGCGGCGCGGCGGGATCATCCGCCCCAGCCAGAGGCAACGCCGTGGGCCGCGGTCGACTCACCTCCATGACGTCCAGCAGGCAGGGCACGGCGTCCGGAGAGGCCGGCCGCTCCCGGCCTCCCTTCAGCACCGGCGAGATGCGGCCGCGCGGCGCCGCCCTGAAATCACCGCAGCCGACAGTGTGGGAGCCCGTCCGCTTCAGATCAGGTCTGAGTAAACCAGAGACGTGGCGCTGGGTGTACCGGCTGGTCGGAGACCGATCAGACGCTGTTTGAGAGGCGACACGCAGACGCGCCTGACAGTAATCGCATCGCCCAACCGGCACAACTGAAACAGTAACAGGTCACAGCCAGGTCACAGCACATCGCACGACATCTACTCCGTGGCACGCATCAGAGCATCATAACTCTAGCAGAGAGCGCCAGACAGACAGACAGATAGACGGACGGGCGGCGATCACGCCCGGACCAGCGGACCGGCCGGCCAAACGGCGGCGCGCTCGCCAGCCGCTCCCGACAGTTCGCACCTGCGCGAGAACGGGATGTCGCGCGCCGCGCTGTCCGGCGGCTCGGCGCCCGAGAAGACGAAGGCGTTTGTGACGCGCAGCCGGCCCAGGTCGGCCACCAGCAGGTGGGGCGAGCGAGCCGAGAGCGGCAGCAGCAGCACCGGCGCGCCGGCCTGCACGTCCAGCGACACCCGGCTGCCGCGCGAGCTCAGTTCCACCTGCCGGCCGGCGGCCCGAGCTCAAAGGAGCTGACAGGGATGCCACGTGGCGGCGCGGTCCGCCGGGCCACAGCAGGACGGCCCTCAGCAGCTGAGCTGCCGTCAGCCCACAGCTGCTGTCGGCCCAGCTGGCCCAGTCAGCTGGGCACAGGAGAGGCCAGCTGGGCTCTGCCCGGGGCAGCGGGAGAGGCCAACCCAGGCTCTCTAGCAGACCATCGCAGTTAGCACACGGTATACCTGAGAGGGGGACAGGTCAGCTGGGCTCTGCCAGGGGTGGCGGGAGGGGCCAACCCAGGCTCTCTAGCAGACCACCGCAGTTAGGACACGGTGTACCTGACGAAGGGGGGCAGGTCAGCTGGGCTCCAGAGGACGGTACACAGCAGCGTCAGCTGGGCTCCAGAGGACAGTACACAGCAGCGCCAACCGGGCTCCAGAGGACGGTACACAGCAGCGTCAGCTGGGCTCCAGAGGACGGTACACAGCAGCGTCAGCTGGGCTCCAGAGCACGGTACACAGCAGCGTCAGCTGGGCTCCAGAGCACGGTACACAGCAGCGTCAGCTGAGCTCCAGAGGACGGTACACAGCAGCGTCAGCTGGGCTCCAGAGGACCGTACACAGCAGCGTCAACTGGGCTCCAGAGGACGGTACACAGCAGCGTCAGCTGGGCTCCAGAGGACGGTACACAGCAGCGTCAGCTGGGCTCCAGAGGACGGTACACAGCAGCGCAACCGGGCTCCAGAGGACGGTACACAGCAGCGTCAGCTGGGCTCCAGAGGACCGTACACAGCAGCGTCAGCTGGGCTCCAGAGGACCGTACACAGCAGCGTCAGCTGGGCTCCAGAGGACAGTACACAGCAGCGTCAGCTGGGCTCCAGAGGACCGTACACAGCAGCGTCAGCTGGGCTCCAGAGGACGGTACACAGCAGCGCCAACCGGGCTCCAGAGGACGGTACACAGCAGCGTCAGCTGGGCTCCAGAGGACGGTACACAGCAGCGTCAGCTGCGCTCCAGAGGACGGTACACAGAGCAGGGCTTCGAGGCGCCACGCTCGCCGCACTCACGTCCGAGCCTGCCTGCAGCCGGCTGAGCAGCTCCTGCAGCTGAGTGAAGTGTGCGCAGAACTGGAGCAGCTCGGTCAGGAAGCGCTGCGTGTGCACGTACAGCACGGACGCCATGTGCAGGCGCAGCTGGAGGTCGAACGGCCGCTGCAGGCCCGGGTCTGGCGCCTGGTACCTGTCGGCCGCCAAAGTCCAGGCCACTGCGCGCGCGGCGGCCACCGATGTTTTGGTGTCAGCGTACACCGCGTGAACCCTCGGCGTTACGGGGCGACCCTGCACAGTGTTCGCAATGCCGATTTGACCTTCAATGTGACCACACGAAACAGACATGAACACATCTCGGGGCTCAGTGATCTTTTGATTGCATCCGCTTCGTCAAATATGCACCGATGCTTAACGACGCATAACCGGCCTACATATACACGCACACGCACACGCACACGCACACGCACACGCACACCACACACACACACACACACACACACACACACACACACACACACACACACACACACACACACACACAGATTATATATATATATATATATATATATATATATATATATATATATATATATATATATAACGGTGAGTGTATGTGTATGTGCGTGTGCTTGCATGCGTGTGCATGCGTGTGCATGCGTGTGCGTGCGTGTGCGTGCGTATATGTGCGCGCGCGCGTGCGTGCATGCGTGTACGCGTGTGTGGGTGTGGGTGTGCGTATGGGTGTGCGTGTGCGTGTGGGTGTATATGTGTGTGTGCGCGCGCGCACGTGATACATTGAACAACATACGTGCAAATATTGATGGAGCGGACAGGATCAGCGTGCCGAGAGCACAGATAGCGCCTGGACAGACGTCCTGTCCACAAAAGCGAGGCCCGCAAGTGACCATCATTGTGCAAGGACCTGAACTGGTGATCAATTCACACCACGGCGCGTACCAGCACGCCTCTGACGTACCCAGCGGAGCAGGAGCGCCCCACTGAGCCCCGCCCCGGTCGGACGCCTACCTGACCAGGTCGAAGTGTACAGCCTCGGGGCCGGACGTGACGAAGCGCTCGCGGTAGAGCGCACCGTGCCGAGTGAGGTCGACCAGCGCCAGGGCGCCCAGGTGGCCGGCGGTGGTGGTGCGGCCGGCCGCCGCCACCGTGCGGCCGCTGAAGTCGGTGACGGTGGCGCGCGCCAGCGGGCCGCAGCCCGGCTGGTTCAGCAGCAGGCTCAGCGAGTGCACGCGCACCAGAGTCTCGGTGGCCGGCTCGGCGGCGGCGGCGCAGGCCGGCCGCGAGCTGCTGCGGCTGACGCCCGGCTCCGGCGGCTGCCGGCGGCGGCGCCGGTCCCCGTCAGGCCGCGCTCCAGGCAACGCCCGGCAAATGACCGGCACACAGCGGTCATGGCGGCGGCGGCCGCACGCAGGAGCCGGTTCCATGTCAAGTTGCAACGGGGAAGATTTCATTTGGGGAGAAAGTATGACAACGTTCGGTAAGATGTCATCACCAAAGACTGTGACAGTCTGGAGCGGGGGGCATACACCTAATGGAAATCATCCCAGTCAACATCAGGGACAAGTTCGGAATATCTCTAGACCAAGCTACCACAGGAACGGCCGCAAACGTTAACTTGTTCGGTGAGAGCGTAACAGCGAAACCATAAATATAGCGCAACAACGAAATATGGATAGGTGAAACGCCCAGGTTCTTTCCTTATTTAGAAAGCCGTCACAACTCTCAAACGCATATTAACCTCATGGATGAATCTCAGACCTCCTTTGGTAACAAATAGTGCGGGAGCCCCTCTCGACAGGATTGGATGTGAGGACGGCGTTCACCGGCGCCTCCCCCTCCCCCCATCCCTCCTGCCGCCTCACCGCCGGCTCGGGCTGCGGCGGGCCGCCGAAGAAGTCCAGCACCATGACCCACGACTGCGGGCTGACCACCACGTCCAGGCAGTTGAAGTTGACGTCGACGGTGCGTGCCACGGCGGCGCGCGCGCCACGCAGCGTCGCCGTGCACTGGATGAGCGCCGACTCGAGCGGGCGGCGCGCGCCGTCCGCCGCCGGTCGCGCCCCTGCCAGCGGCGGGTCCGGAGGTCAGCAGCGCGCAGGGCCGGGCCACCGTCCACGCCCGGCACATACCCATCGCCAGCCGAGTGAAGCCAGTGCCTGTCGGCCTGGCCTAACGCGGCACTCAAATCTACACTGAAAACGCTACCATGCTTGAAGCGACTTACCCCTGACACACCCGCCCAACAATACATCCAGATGTGACACTGCACCTATACAGTCCAGTGGTTCCCCTGACACCACACGCGCCGGGACGGGACGCCCCCGCCGGGCGTGACACGCTGGCCGCTCCGTTGCGGGTCCCGCGTGACGGCGGAGGCTGGGCTCACCGAGCGGGCGGCGCGGCGCGGTGCGCGCCCCCAGCACGCCGAAGCCGTCCAGCCGGTCGGGCAGGCTGCCGCAGGCCGGCTCGGCCTGCTCGGCGTCGGCCGACGCGGCCGCGATGTCCGGACACGAGGTCGACAGGAAGGCGCTGACGGATGACAGCCGGCGCTCGCTCGGCCTGGCGAGCAACACGCCGCTGGTGACACACGTCCGGACGCGAGCACCGGGGGCGGGGAGCGTGCGGCTGCACTCACACACAGACACACGCAGACGCACGCCGGCGCACGCCGGCGTGCGTAGACACACGCCGGCACACCCAGGCGCACGCCGGCACACGCAGGCGCACGCCGGCACACGCAGCGGGCGGCAGGCCAGAGGACGCCGCCATGTGATACCGTCGCCAGGCCCTCTCCCGCCCATCCCCACCAGAGGTCAGAGTCGCCCCGGAGGGCGCTGTACAGACCAGGGGCACTTCGCGCCGGACAGCACAGTGCGAATCACGGCATCTGCAGAGCAATACCGATAACGCTTGTCAGTGAGCACGTCGTCAGAGCTCGGAGCTAAACAATTGCACGGGCACACGTCGCAAGATCGGCGTACGATATTCACCGAGACTCGCACGAAACATCCATGAATGCGTCCACCGATAGGTAACGGCTTGTGTGTTGTGGGAGGCCTCGAGGCCACTCACGTGACGTGGGAAGTCATACGGCGACGAATCACGTGGTGTGATAGGCTATGAGGTAGGTCACGTCGTGCTGTGGGAGGTTTTAAGTCACGTCGTGCCGTGGGAGGTTTTGAGGTAATGACTCATGTTGCTCAAGGCCATAAATACCACGACTGAAGTATTTTGGAAAGCCAATACACAATGAATCACGTGCTGTGAGAACCAGGCGTAATGGCTCGCATGTTGGCAGAGTCCATGAGGTAGTATTGCACACGTTTTCTGGGTATTAGGTAGTGCTTTATGGGTTGCGGAGGGTGGCAGGCATGCAGGAATGACTCGCGTGGCGTTTAGTTTAGTTGGATGACTGGCGGAGGCCCCGCTGCGCCGACTCACATGTTGTACGAGGCCATGGGGTATGGCGGAGGCCCCGCTGCGCCGACTCACGTGTTGTGCGAGGCCATGATGTATGGCGGACGCCCCGCTGCGCCGACTCACGTGTTGTGCAAGGCCATGGGGTGTGGCGGAGGCCCCGCTGCGCCGACTCACGTGTTGTGCGAGGCCATGATGTATGGCGGACGCCCCGCTGCGCCGACTCACGTGTTGTGCGAGGCCATGATGTATGGCGGAGGCCCCGCTGCGCCGACTCACGTGTTGTGCGAGCCCATGGGGTATGGCGGAGGCCCCGCTGCGCCGACTCACGTGTTGTGCGAGGCCATGGGGTATGGCGGAGGCCCCGATGCGCCGACTCACATGTTGTGCGAGGCCATGAGGTGTGGCGGAGGCCCCGCTGCGCCGACTCACGTGTTGTGCGAGGCCATGAGGTAGCGGTGCGGCGCGTCCGGCGGCTGCAGCAGGTCCTCCATGGTGACCTCCTGCAGGGTGACCTGGAGCGAGGTCAGGTCGGGCTGCAGGCGCTCGTACGCCACGGCCAGGTCACTGAAGGTGAGCGTCACCAGGCCGCGCGCCTCGCCGCCACCCATGTCGCTGCGCAGCTCCATCTCAAACTCCGACAGCTGAAATGAGCCTGCCGGACACACAAGGACAAACCATCATGCTTCTCGCGAACGCGCTTAACGACTTATATCTTTGTTGTACTACATTGGCAACAGGTCGGCCCGTGGTTGTTTTCTGTCACCGCAGCTTCTGCCTATCGTTTTTAGCCAGTACACACTAACTGGTGAAAGTATTTCGACCAGCTGCTGCCCACTACGGCAAAGGAATGCAATATTTCAGCTGAAAACTGGCTCAGACGGGCTAAATTAGGGTCGCAACAACAGCTGACGAGTTGAACATTCGATAGCCAAATGACAAAAGCACAGACGTCTGGTGTACCACAGAATGGCTAGCAACTCATCTAAAAGTTCGAATCGAGCAGTCACGTGCTCAAGATCGTCACATGCATTCATTGCAATACTGTCCAATGAACGGTGTCCTGGCTGGAACTAATTCTGCTAGGCCGACAGGCATGGACCAGATGGATCTCACCATGAATGGGTATGACTTGGTTTTGCGCTGGTACCGAGATCTTCCTCTCCGGCGGCGCCTCAGCTGAGCTGTCGTCGGCACCGGCCGCCGTTGAGCCTGCGGAAACAGCCACATCCCGAGTATCAGACTCCACAATATCCACATACAGCCGCCAGCAGCGGGACCACGCGGTGTGTGTGTGTGTGTGTGTGTGTGTGGTGTGTGTGTGTGTTTGGGTGTGTGTGTGGTGGAGTGTGTGAGTGCGTGTTGGTGCGTGAGTGCGTGTGTGTGTGGTGTGTTGGTGTGGGTGCGTGGTGCGTGGGTGTGGGGCGAGTGCGTGCGTGCGTGCGTGGTGCGTGCGTGCGTGGTGTGCGGTGTGTGGTGTGTGTGGTGTGCGTGTGTGTGTGGTGGTGTGCGCGTGCGTGTGTGGCGTGCGTGTGTGTGCGTGTGTGTGGTGCGTGTGTGTCGCGCGGCGTGTGCGTGCGTCGTGTGCGTATGCGTGTGCGTGCGTGCGTCGTGCGTGCGCGTGTGCGTATGCAAGCGCGTGTGCGTATGCAAGCGCGTGTGCGGATGTGCGGATGTGCGTGCGTGAGTGCGCGCATGCGTGGGTGCGTGTGTGTCGAAGTTGTCAAGTATCAATCCAAAACACAACTCAGCCGATAGGTTCGCAGGGCCGTGGTTGCAGCGAGACAGTTCGTCCTACCCAACATTCACGTTGCTTACAAATGTCTCCAGCGCCTAAACCAAGCATAAATGAACGAGAACACTTTCCGAGACACAGGAATCCATTTCAACGTTGGAACAAGCAAGATAATAGCAGCCACGCAAAAGTGACAAACCATCTGAGATCTAGGTCTAGCCATCTAGGCCTGGCCGTCTAGGCCCGTGTGCGGTCCGCCTGGCCAGTTTTCCGTCGCCTCTCTGTGCTATCGCTGCCGCTGGGCCCGTGTGAGCAGCAACGGGCGGGTGGCACCGCCCAGTGCCGTACCGGGGCCGTGCGCGGGCAGACCCGGCTCCGGCTCGGTGTCTTCGTCCACCGGCGGCACCGTCAGTTGGTCCAGCGTGCGCAGGATCTGCTCGTACTGCGACTTCAGCACCGAGAGCCGCACCGGCGTCACAAACTGGCCGTCCACCTGACCACACAGAGGAAGCACGTCCAGAACATGTGCGGTAGCCATGCTTACAACTTTCAGGCTTGACAAGGTACTCAACCGTTGCCATTAGCTCAATGCTCACGCCCCCCCCCCCCCTGCCCCCCACAAATACAAAAGCCACATTTGTACGACCCGGCCCACCAACGGACGAGGACAAACAGTCATCGCATTTCCGCGATAGACCAGTGCACCCGCCAGCGACACGGGTGCCGTGGTGTCAGTGACAGACCAGTGTACCCGTCAGCGACACGGGTGCTGATGGCGAGTGCCGTGGTGTCAGTGACAGACCAGTGTACCCGTCAGCGACACGGGTGCTGGTAGCGAGTGCCGTGGTGTCAGTGACAGACCAGTGCACCCGTCAGCGACACGGGTGCTACTGGCGGGTGCCGTGGTGCGCTGCGGCCGACTCGCCTGCAGACCGTGGCGGCGCGCGCCGGCCGCGTCCGGCCCGGCCAGCTCGGCGCGCCGCAGCGACACCTCCAGCGCCGTGTCGTACAGGATCGGGTCGCCGCACAGGCGCGCGTCGTACAGCTCGTCGGCGCGCAGCACGGTGAACGCCCGCCGTGGGCTGCGGACAGCACGGTGCGCTTAGGCGGCGAGGGACGCGGCGGCCACCGCTCGGCCGCGGGACGCCGCCGCCGCCGGCGCCCGACCGAACGCGACCTCAGGCCGTTGATCGGGCTGATCAGACGGCGACACGGTGCGACGTCCCGCGGGATCAACGCCGGGTGGCGAACGGCACGCAACGCCGGTCTGGCTCGGGGTTCCCGACCCGCCGGCTACCGTCTGTCCTGTCAAACACGCTGTGGCAGCCCAAGGCCGCCGCGGCAGCCCTGCCGCGAGCCGCTGCCCCATCCGTCGGCTCTCACCTGAGGTCGCGGGCGCGCAGCACGCGGTCCAGGTCGAGCGAGTAGAGGTTCATGTCGCGCACGTCCAGCCGCTGCTGGTCGCCGGGTCGGCTGGCCAGGGCGATGCGGCCCAGGTGCGCCACCAGCACGCGGCTGCCGCCGACGCTCTCCGGCACCACCACGATCGGCGTCTCCAGCACCACACTGCCGGCCGCAAACACACTGTGTGTCTCTGGAGACACACCGGAGACACACACACACACACACACACAGGCACACACACACACACACACGCACACACGCAACGCACGCACGCACGCACGCACGCACGCACGCACGCACGCACGCACCACACACACACACACACACACACACACACACACACACACACACACACACACACACACGCACACACATACACGCACACGGACTAGCACACACACTACGCACACGCGCGCCGCCGTCACTGGCGGCGACGGCCGCGACACGGCAGGCACATACAGGGTAGGCGACACGACAGCCACACACAGCGCGGGCGACACGACAGCCACACACAGCGACACAGCAACGAGGAGCTGTCCGGTGTGTTGAGCCATGGTGGCAGCTGGTGCCGTTTGCCAGCGTCGGCTCAGTGATAACAGCGCCCACCGGTCCATGGAGAGCGGGTACGAGTCACAGCTGGCTCTGACCGACTGGCGACAGCCATCGGGCTGGAGGTACACAAGGCAGCGTTCGGCGGCGGAGCTCACCACCCCGGAATGTCTCCCGATGCAAGTGTGACACAGGAAACGACACGAGGTAGACAAGAGTGCCTCGACGGCGGCCGCGGCTGAGCGCAGACGGAAAACTCCCACGATTCGAGGTCTGAGGCTCAAGGGCGTTCGAGGCGAAACCTTGCTGACAATTATGTGCGGTTCTTTTGCCAGGTAGTGTTTCGTTTCCATGATCCCGTCTCCCGTCGAGGCCACACAGCAAAAGCCCGCACAGGCGCCATGAGACGCGCGGTCGGCTGGCGCGGCCGGTGCGCCTCCCAGCCAGAGCCGTGACGTCAGACGGCAGCGGCCGGCCGCGTGCCCTACCTCAGGTCCAGGTCGGAGAAGGCATGGCCGGCATCGGGCGGCGGCGCCGCGTCGGGCCGCGGCGGTGACTGCGCGCCCGTGTCGCCGCCGGAGCCGGATGGGTCCGCCCTGTCGGCCGACCGGCGCGGTCAGACGGCCAGGCGGCGACGCGGCCGCCGGGCGCTCGGCGTCACACCGCGGTGTCAATCACGGACAGACGCATTTCGTGGTCCCGTGTGACGGGGTGATGGGAACAAAGTTCCCAGGTTATAAGTAGATCAAGCTGTCCACGGCGAAAACAGCGCGCCCCTCTGCATTTGTACATCATTCTCATGTCGGCTCTCAATGCACACGGACAGTGGGCAGCTGCCACAGTCAAATCACGCGAGACCAGTCGATGAGCTCTGCCGGGTGAGGAACGCACCGCAGTGGTACCGACACAACGCCAGCTGTTCTCGCACCTGATGTGCACCATCTCGCGGGCCATCTCGGCGGCGGCCAGGCCGACCGAGCGGGCTAGCTCGGTGATGTACTGCTCGAACTCGTCCACGCAGTCGCCCAGCTCGGCCAGGAACGGGGCGCGGTGCGTGTAGCACACGGACGCCAGCCGGACCTGCGGCACGGCCGCTCGGGTCAGCACGCGCGCCAGGCATGGCACTATCCCTCAGCAGGGCCGGCCGGTGGCGAGGCGGACGCTTCAGCGAATGCAGAACAGTCGAGAACACACGCAGATTTAGGCACAAGCCGTGCAGAATCAGCTTCTCCGCTCAGTGACACTCAAAGACCAGGAGGCGCGGACCAACGGACAATCTCCATAGTGGATACGCCATGATCACTATGTAGGCCGCATGCCGCATGATGGACACTCACAGTGAGGCATGACTAAACACGATAAGACTACTGTCCGTCGACTCCACGCGGCACCTCACCACCATCCGACAGTGCCGAAAAATGTCGGATGAGGTCAACGTCCAACGTCGCATGCACGCAGGATTTTCTCAGTGACGTCAACAAAGTCAGCGCTTCAGGTCCGGCCAGACAAGACCAGCCATCCGCTGGCGGAGCGACCGGCGGCGGCAGACCCACCTGAAGTTGGGCAGTCTGGTCGGCCCCGGCCGGTCGGCAGGCGGTGAACTCCAGCGCCCGCGGACACTGCTCGCTGTCCCGGTACAGGTCGGCGTTCAGCCTCCGCAGCAGGTCCTGCCGCAGCCGTGGGCCCGTCAGCCGGGGCGGGGGAGGGGGGGGGGGGGGGACAGCACGGGCACCGGTGGCGGACAGGCACCTCCCAGCCAGCTAGCTGCTCGGTACGCGCAGAGGAAGCGTACATGTCGCAACCGTCTGGTAGTGCCGGCTTAGCTACATCGCACTGGCACCTTACAAGCGCAGTTAGTGGGTGCCAACACAAACACAACATCATTCCGAGGATCCATCCAACCTACTACTCACACGACCTATACATGACCTGCGCCCTTGGTAAAATCTAGACCAATGAAAACCAGCAACAAAACGTCCTCGAACGGCCCCATCCGTGCGTGCGAGCCCAGCCAGCCGGCGGCTCAAACAAACTCCCAAGCATGCAGTAATGTCCGACCGCTGAGCCGCGGGCGCGCAGGTCGGCCGCTCGGCTGGCCGCCGCTCCGCACCGGCCTCACCTGGGACTGCTCCACCACGGGGTCGAAGCCGACCGAGAGGACGCACGGATGCCGGTGGCCGCCGGGGCTGAGGTCGCGCACCTGCAGGCCGCCCAGCGCGCCGCTCACGCACAGCTGGGCGGCCAGCGTGGCCTGGATGCGCGCGCCACTCACAGTGGCCGTGGCCACCTTGCGGCCCGTCACCGAGCCGTGCCGGATCCGACACGGAGCGCAGCAGCAGCACATTCAGCCTGCCGGCGACGGAGACAGGTGAGGGTCAGCCTGCCGGCGCCGAAGACAGGTGAGGGTCAGCCTGCCGGCGCCGGAGACAGGTGAGGGACTCAGGCCTGCCGGCGCCGGAGACAGGTGAGGGTCAGCCTGCCGGCGCCGAAGAACAGGCTGTAGGGTCAGCCTGCCAGCGGCGAGACCGGAAGACAGGTGAAGGGTCAGCCTGTTCAATCGGCCGGAGTACAGGTCAGAGGGTCAGGCCTTGCCGGCGCCGGAGACAGGTGAGGGTCAGCCTGCCGGCGCCGGAGACAGGTGAGGGTCAGCCTGCCGGCGCCGGAGACAGGTGAGGGTCAGCCTGCCGGCGCCGGAGACAGGTGAGGGTCAGCCCGTTACGGCCGGGGTCTAGTCAGACTCAGCCTGTTGGGGCCGGGGTAGGGTAAGCGTCAGCCTGTCGGAGCTGGGGTCAGGTCAGACTCAGCCTGCTGGATCTGACAAAAGCTGAACAGTTCGTGTAGCCCGCAACCGACACACGTATATAGATTATGGTCATTCATTAATTATCGAAGGGTTTCTGCACCAATACTGTATGCAATGATATGTGCTTTCCAGACGACATATGACTGCTAGAACGGAGCAATTTTCCACTTCTTGGTGGAACAGGCAAATAAAACCCAAACATGACGACCAATAAAACTCCTCAGGGAGCCGACAAGGTCTGCAGAGTATGGGGTACACCACTGACACCCTCCGAGCGCTACCATCAGCCTGCTCACAACACTGCCACAAGCAGCGGCCCGGCTGGCCGGCCGAGGATGGGTCTGGCGCGCAGCTGCGCCTCTCTGGGGAGAGGGGCCGTGTGCTGGCCCGCGCCCGCCGGCGGCCAACTCACTTGTGGAAGTCGAACGTGAGCTCGGTGCGGCTGGAGGGCGGGCTGGCCGGCGGCGAGTCTGTCCGCGCCCGGTCCTCCGGCGTCCGTCCACACCCGTCTGATGGCACACCGCGCACACACACACATACATACACCCACACAAGGCGGAGGCGTGGGTCGGGAGCGGCACAAGGCGGCCTGCGAACAGCATCGACGCCCGGGAGCGGCCGTTTGAGAGAGGCCGTTCGAGTCTATCATTCTGCCCACATATCTCGCAGTTACACGTCACGCTCTTTGGCACGTGTCGGCGTACATCGATTTAACACACTGCAAGAAGGCAGTAGGACAACCTTCCAAGGCGCAGCCGTGATAAATACTTCTTCTTAGTTACGTATGTATTTCAAAACAGGCTCGGGTAGGAACTACTTTAGTCCGAGATCCTTCGCGCGGATGAACGCAGAATCAAGGGAGAGTTGTCCAACTCCTCCGATGACCAGCCCGATGGTGATCTGAACACGTCAATCATCTCCAGCCCCCCCCCCCCCCCCTCCCCCAACACCATGTCTGCGCCAAGGCTTCGGTCCATATTGTTTCGCAGGACCTCCTGGTACTAGGTCGGCTCTCGTGCTGGCAGAGGCGGGGCGTCTCCTCATCACCAGAGTTAGAGGGGGTCTGGCGTACCTTCAGTCTCCGGCTGCGTTTCCGTGGGGACCGGCGGGGAGTCGGCGGGCGTCTCACGCGGCAGGCTGATCCGGTTCAGGAAGCCGGCCAGCTCCACGATCGTCTCCTGGTTGGCTGCAAAGCCGGAATCAGGGAGGTGAGTGTTGGCCGATGTCAGTAAGCAAGACAGGTGTTACACACGCGTTGGTCGGCCTCGCCACGACCGATGGTCATCCCACGCAGAACACTTGCCCGAGAACTGGAGAGGTGTACGTTTGATGCTATGACGATTAAAACACAATGCATCATTGACACATCTGGCCAGTTAACACACATTGATTGGAGCTGCGTCGATGAACATCGCGAACATTTTCTTTGTTTAACATGTGGGCCGTAAGTCAACGCACAGACAAAAATGTGCCTGTGAGCAAAACGTGTTTTTTTCCAGAACATCTGCAAAAAGGCGAATATAACTCGGCTGAAGATACGAAAAAAAAATACTAGTGGCTTGCAAAGCTACACATTCCAAGTAAACATGCGCCACACCGCGACGGCGTGCCAAACGTCCAGCACCAGGCCGGGACCCGTCCATCCCCGGGAAACACTCGCCAATGACGTCCAGGGTGTTGAAGCGGACGGAGACGGTCTGCAGGGTGTGGCTGGGGTGCTGGCCTGTAGATGGCAGCACGATCGACACGTCCAGCGTGATGAGGGCGTCCTGGGCGTGGCCGACGGGCTGTTCGGGCGGCGGCGACGCTCCAGCCGGCGGCGACGCCGACGCTACTGCCGCACACCGGGCCGCTGCGTCAGCAACATTCGCTAAGCGGGCTGTGCGTCTGAGACACAACAGCACTATCGGACCACCCCGTCCACTCGTCCCAATGCCAGAGTACGAGCTACTTGCCCCTGCTCTCCGCCCCTCCGTCCACTCGCCACAGTTCTATAAATGACAAGCGCGGCTTGCACGTGCCTGGGACAGTCAAGGCTGTCCCTGAGAGCCCCTATCTAATCAGATTCAGTGCCAGAGCGTACGCCTCAGAGCATCAGCTGTGCCTCTGAGCCAGTGGGTGTGCCTCTGATCCAGCAGCAGTGCCTCTGAGCATGTGGCTGCGCCTCTGATCCGGCAGCAGTGCCTCTGAGCCAGTGGCTGTGCCTCTGAGCCAGTGGCTGTGCCTCTGAGCCCGTGGCTGCGCCTCTGAGCCAGTGGCTGTGCCTCTGAGCCAGTGGCTGCGTTTCAGAGCCGGCGTCCTTACCTCTGATCGCCGCGGCCGTCTGCAGTCGCTGGTTGATGGCGCGCGTCAGCGAGACGGGCGAGGCCGGCCGACCGAGAGGCTCCGGCGAGCCGGGACTGCACGGACTGCACGGCTCCGAGTCCAACAGTGAGCCGCTCACGCTGTCCACGCTGGCGGCCAGACAGCGGGGTCACACGG